CATCAGCAGGTCTCTAGTTTAAAGTCCTTCTTAAGGCATGGTCAGATACAAGGCCAGACCTGGTTGCTCACGGCTCTATCTATACAAGTCTTGAAAACATCCAAGGATGGAGACTACACAACCTCTCTGAGCGACCTGTTCACCTGTTTGACCATCCTTATGAGGTYATTTATGTCCTTATGTCCTTATGGRCATTTCCTAATACCCAGTCCCCTTCTTCTGCCATGACTGCACGTGTGCACCTCTGTGCTGACCTAGCCAGCAGCCAACAAGACCTTTGGGGGGACTACTTACCCRGAGAAGATATCTGAATTAGACACCAGCCCTCCCATAGGCAGCTGAATGGCTGTGGTTCAATCTGTGCTCGGAAGAGGCACACAGTGCCTGCTATTCTTACCTGCAACGGAGAAAACAGAGCAGCCAATGCAGARCAGAGCAGAGTCTTCCTTTCATAAACTGAAACATGAGTGGGAGGACACGGTGAAGGTGTTCACACCTAATGACAACGGATCTTCCAGTTACTAGTCGTTTGCAAGAGTATTTGCAAGGTGTCTGTAGTCATCACGAGTCCTTCCCAGCACTTTTGGTGTAAAAACCTCCATTTTTTTTTCTGGGACATCCTTTCTAGATGCATCGTTATGTGCCTTCAAATTGCAGCTGAAAACATCTCCTTCCACTTGCTTTGAAAGCTACTTTCCCAAGACATTGAGGTTTATGCCTTGCATGGAATGTTGTTCCTGTTGGATAGACCACTTGGCCACTCTCCATGAGGAATCACACGCTTTCTTGGCTATGTCACTTGAGATACAAGCTTTCCCAAAGGAAACCCGGGAGCCCCCAGCTTGACTCTGCCTGTTCCTGGGCTTATCACCATCACCACCAGARCAGCCTCTCCTGGAGTGTTTTGGTTGTTTAGCCAAGACACGAAGAGAGATGGAGGAAAAATGATGAAATTATTTGCCCATATACATTTTTTTGCAGCTCATGAGTTTTAGATGAAGACTTTGGACAGAAGTAACTTGTTTTGAGCTCCTTGGAGAGAAATAGGCTGTTTTCCCCTGTGATGGAAGCTCTGTGGGATTGTTTGTAGGTCGGTGAATGAAACCCCACACCACCACTTCCTCTCATTAGCTGAAGGAAGGAAAACAGTCACTTAATGTGCATTTCTTCCCCTGCTACCTAGGAGCAGTTGCGATTAGCAGGCTCAGAACCAGATCCCATATGTTTTGGACTTGCTTTTGCAGAGCATCAYGTCACCTCTATGCAACCCTGATCGGGTCTACATAGCATGGCCAAGCCCCCACGTAGCACTATCACAGCACATAGACTGGGCTTTCATTACCCACGGCTGGAGAAGCAAGAGCCAACCCTGCTTTACAAGCAGACCTGGGCTGAGCACCAGCTTTGGGCTTGCCAGCCCTGCTGCGGCTTTGACAGCCTCCTCAGRAGGACACAGCTTATACCAGCAAGACTATTTCTGCCAGGGGAGGAAACTATCTCTTTGCGTGACATAATCCGGAGTCTTTTGGCTTGTCCGTGTCGCCTCAAGCTGAGCAGGCAGATGTTGTCACGGGTTGGAGATGGAAGGCACCCCCTGCTAAATGACTGGCATGAAGGCAGCTTTGCAGGGCCAACCCTTCCTTTGCAGAGAGAGGTGATGTCCTCCCGGGCTGCTGTCCCCCACCTTGGCTCAGAGAGGAGCCTTCTGCATGAAACCAGCAACATTCACAAACGTTCTTCTGTGTGGCTGTGAATGTGCCTCATATGGGCTTAGTTTAGTCCTCTTAACATGAAGGACCAAACTCTCCCATCTATAATCTTTTAGATAGCACTTATAAACTTTTAGATGGGTACAATGGAGGGGTCTCATCATCCAAGTGCAGGTGTGGGTGAACCTCCAGGTGCAGAAGAGCCACAGAGGTTGCCCAAGCTGTGCGGATTGCGGTGATTGTCCCACCTTTGGTCCCTCCATGGATAGRGATCCCTCTGGTGAGCTGGTGTTGAAACTTATGTGTTAAATCCAAGATATTCTACTTTCCTTCCTGCCTGTGGCACCTATAACTCACCCACCAAGTGAGCAGTGACACAGTTGCTCCTCTATGCCAAGATCTTTAGACAAGATGCAGATGATCCAAGATGAGCAAGGCGTCAAGCTCTGCAAGATCTACCAAGGACTCTGCAAGCACTTGCAATAGCCACGAGGTCCTCATTTGGAGCTTCAGGTTTTCTGCAGCAGCCTGGAGGACCTCATTTTGGAGCTTCAGGTTTTTCTGCCCCTCAGGTCTTTGGAAATGGCATTCCCTGCAAACAAAGGAACCTGGAGGGAAAAGTCCTTGCTCACATCAGTGAGTTTCACGCTGATCTTTCCCTGTTTTTAGAGAAACAAGCCCCGTGCAGGCAGCCGGATGACTCTGTGTCCATTCCCACCTCCACTCCGCCTCGTGGTGTGCCCGGGCACATCCCCTCTTCCTGCCCACCGTTCCCAAGGGAATGTCCTGGGCCAGCGCCGCTCCTGCAGCTCTCACTGGTGCTGACGTTTCTCGGTGCACAAAACACTTAACCGGTCGTGCAGCAGCAGTCCAGGGACCTCAAAGTGCTCGGAGATCTTGAAACGAAATGGCTCTGATACATGTGAAGTCACTCTGCTGTGGGAGCTGCTCAGAACAYGCCACTTCTGCAAGAAAAAAAAATGAAAGGAAAAAGAAAACAAAGGATTAGGGGAACAAGGAGTTCGGGTTTTGGTAGAGTTTATTTTTCTTTTCCTTGAGAGGAAGTAGACTTTGGGAAGAAAAGCAGTAATTTTCGTTGTGAGAACTGAATCATATTTTATTCCAGGGAAGGAGAGGGCATTGGGAAAAAAAAAAAAAAAAAGGACAAGGACATATCCAGAGAATTCATTCTCAAATTCTCAAACAGGAGTATTTTTTCTGCAGAATGGAAAAAAGAAATGAGTGAGAGTCCTTGGGGTCCTGTTTGACAGCAGTCACTCCAAGGGATTTGCTGAGTGGAGACAGAGGATCTGCTGCTTTTCTGGTTTCTTCTGCTCCTTTAAGTTACAGGTGCCCTTTTTGTTGTTGCTCCCACCCGCAGTGATGGACACGTGTAAATTCAACCTGTTTGTCCCGCTGAACACCGAAACATGTCTTTGGTGTGGGCAACCACGTTGTCATTGCTGGGGGCAGAGCGTGGGGAGCGCAGGCTGGCACGCGGCAAAGGGATGCTCATGGGAGGGAAAGATGTAATGAGCTTCGCAAGACCTCTGAGGGCTGTTTTTGGTGGTCCGGGTGGATGTTCGAGGGTTTATATCCCAACTTGTGACCCGTTTCCCACTTCCTACCCTTGGCTCMATGCGTTGGCTGGATTGTGCATGTCCCAGGACCTGCTCCCTCGCGTCTCAGGTCTTCTCCACGCTGATGGTCCTTTCGCACAAGGCCCTTGTTGCCCCTGGATGGCTGGATGCAGGACTGAGGATAAAACATCTCCCGGAGCTTGGCCACCGCTGCTTCGGGTGCCTCCTGGAGCCAGGAAACGTGGCTGGCCCCAGCACAAAGAGCAGCTCAGCAGGGGCTGAGCTGGGATTACCACAACTCTGGGTCTGTCTCAGAGCAGCGCAGGGGGAAGGAGCTCGGGGATGTCTCCTCGGGCTATTTCTGAGGTGCCTTCTGCAAAGCCTGCTGTTGCAAGGCTATTTTATCTCTTCTATATAAAATAGCCTCTGTTTCTTGAAAATCCCTGCTTCTGAAGCCAAAAGGGCAAAATGAAGAGCTTGAGTCTCTCCAGGCCGCTCTGCTCGCCTTGGCGGGGCTCCTGCCTTCGTGAGTGATGGGAAGGGTCCAGGTGGCTCTTCTTGGGTGATACGAACCTGGTGACAGGGCAGGGCTCTCTGCTGCGAGCTCAGCTATGTGGATATTAGCAGGATGCAGAGCTAGGTGTGCAATCAGCAATTGCAAGGTGTGCAATCAGCCAGGATCGCTGTCTTAAAGCCGAGTGTTTTAGCATTTCTCCCAGTTCCCTCCTTTGGGCGCTCCCTCGCTCAACCTTCTCCATCTTGGTCCATCTTGAAGAGGGTCAGAAGCAGAAGGTCCCTTTTCCGCTCACGTTTCTGCCTGGATTTGAGCACAGGGCCAGGCCAAGGGAGAGCAGAGGCACAGTGCTGAGGGCCTGGCTTGCATTTACCCTGCGTGCCTGGCTAAACGCAGGGATGACTCCCGCTTTCCGCACAGCTTGTGCTAAGCTCGCTGCGTGGGAGGGCGTGATAAATAGTAAAAGTGATGGAGGGATCAAATCTCATCACTGCATTTTCTTTTTTTTTTTTTTTGCAATTGTGTATAGCTTCCTCAGTTTGCGGCTGAAATGAGTCAGTTTGGCCCGCTCCTAACGTGGTGACATTTTTGCATAAAAACCAAGGCGGCCTTTCCCGGCGGGCTCTGCCTCCTGTGCGAGGCCGGGGCCAGATCCGAGGCTAACCATTAACCCCGATCTCCCCGCTGAGCAAAGCTGCAAAGCTCCCGGGCCGCGCTGTGTTGCTCCCTGCCCCTCTCCCGGCAGCCCAGGGGGTCTCCCGCGTGTCCAGCTCCATCCCTGCCCGCACAGAAGGAGTTAAGGGCTCCGCGGACGGTGCCCAATCAGGCAGAGCAAAGTGCAGGCGCTTCGCCCAAGCCAAGCAACAGGTGATCTCTTGTTTACGCCAGGTATTTCCTTTTCACTACTATTGCTGTTCTATTCTTCTCCTCCCAGCTGCAAAGCAGGTGGGGAATCGAGCCGGGAGCCCCGGGAAGGGCAGGGAGAGCAGGCGGCGGAGGTAAATCCCTGCACGCTGCCCGGTCCCGCTGCATCCCCTTCCCCTCTCGCCCTGTTTGCTCGGCGTGGGAGGGGAAGGAGCCCACGGCGGCCACGGGGGCTGAAGGGGATGGTGGCTCCGGAGCGGCCGCTTCCCCTCTCCCAACTCCAGCCGGCGGCTGGRACCTGCAAATCCGCCGCCTCTGGAGCTTGCTCCCGGCTCCAGGGAGGAGTGAGCGGGGGAGTCGCTCTGCGCCCTTGARATTCCTCCGGGTGAGTTAATGATAAATCGTGGACGGGGCTCGGGAGCCATGGGTGCCGGTGGAGACGGGCTCCTTGGGATCGTGCTGGGTCCGGTGCACAGGTTGGTGGCTGCTTGTGGGGCTCTGGTTGGGCCATGTCCCGTGGCATCATGTGCATGGAAGGGGCAAAGCTTGGGAGGCTGCCGTGTGGGAATTGCTCTGGGATCCCCTGGGATTCGGGATCCGGGAGCAGCAGCGGATACCCAGGGAGATGCTGGGCACGATGCTGGGGCAGAGCCCTGCTGGTGGGCGGCTCTGTGGGGAGATTTCCTGGTGGAAACCATTTGTGGGTCCATCCRCACACAGGTCTTTTGTAGCCACAACTGTTACGGGCCAGTCAAGAGCGGCCACCTCGGTGCCTCTTCGCTCAAGCATCCATGGCAAGGAGGGGCATTGGGATCATGCTTGGAGCAGCGGGAGCAGCTTGTCCTGGATTAATAATAGCAACGCCCAGATGGATTCGTTAGGGTCGATAAGGGGCTTGGGRTGCCCGCAGCCACCGCGCTCCCCTTGCGCTCCATGGCACCGACGGGTGACGCCGGAGCGGCGCCCAGGCTCCGGCTTTGGATCCATGTGTTTCCTTCGGGCGGTTATTGAACGTATCCTCCCGTTTGCAAATGGGCCCCGTGAGCCGGGCTGGGTGCACCGCGAGCTCCCCTGAGTGCTCCGGGCTGCAGAAATCACTGATGGACGTGTCACCACCACGGGCCGAGCAGGCACCCTGTCCCGAGGGACTTTCTGGTGCTCTCCATCGTCTTTGCTTCTGGAGAGGGGCTCAGCCGCTGGCCAGGGAGGGAAGCGAGGCCAGGGGAAGCAGGCAGAGACTTTTGCACCGCGTGTGTGTGCACCTGAGACGCGGCAAAGGGGGAAGAGCGATAGCGACCGCAGGGGATTAGCAGGGGGAGGTGGAGCCGGCCGCGCTCCCGGCTCCGGCTCCAGCTCCGGCGGGAACAATGCGGCCTTTATGGAAGCAGGGAGGTGGCTGCTTGGCACGCAGGGGGACGGGGGCGGCAGCGAGCGCCGTGTCCCTCGGCTGGCCAGGGACGCGGGACGCGACAGCTTGGGGACAGCGTGTCCCATGGCCAGCCTGGGGGCACGGCGCATGGTGGGGGAGATGTAGGATGGGGCAGCGTGTCCCCTGGCCACCTGGGAGGGTGGGGGACAGGGGAAGTGGGTGGTGGGATGGGAGTTTGGGATACAACATGTCCCTTGGCCAACTGGGGGGTCATAGGACTTGGGAGATGAGCCATAGGATGGGACAGTTTTGGATACGGTGTGTCCCTTGGCCAATGAGCGGTCATTGGTCATGGGAGGTGAAACACAGGCTAGGAGGCTTTGGAATAAAGTATGTCCCTTGGCCAAYTGGGGAGACTGGGGAGGTGGGAGGCTGGACATTGGATGGGACAGTTTGGGATACAGCATGTCCCTTTGTCATTTAGGACATGAGACATGGAAGGTCAGATGCAGGATGGGACACTTTGGATACAGCATGTCACTTGGCCATTTAGGATATTAGACATGGAAGGTCAGATGCAAGATGGGACACTTTGGATACAGCATGTCCCTTGGCCATTTAGGATATTAGACATGGAAGGTCAGATGCAGGATGGGATAGTTTGGGATACAGCATGTCCCTTGGTCATTTAGGACATCAGACATGGGTGGTGAGACATGGGATGGGGACAGGTTTGGATACAGCGTGTCCCTTGGCCAACTTGGGCCCATGGGAAGTGAGACATAAGATCGGAGGGTTTGGGATACATCATGTCCCTTGGCTGGTTGTGGGGACAAGMAAGGAGATCCCAATGCCGGAGAGGTGTCAATCCAAGCGCTTCCCCCGCTCCATCCCGGATAAGGGCCCTGTAGGAGGCACTGGCTGTCCTGCTCTCCCTCTGCCACGCAACTCAAGAGCCGCCTGGGTCTTTTCATCTCATCCCTTTTGTCTCGGGCTTATTATGTAAATAGCTGAGGCAGCCCCCATAATGAGAAAGTAGTTTCCCAGAATACAAAGGGCTGTAATTATCTCATTAGCAGGCAGAAAGGGAGAGGAGCCGGTTTCTAAGCCGCTTTCTTCCGTTTCCCTCGGCAGCCCAAGCAAGTGCCACCCCTCAGCAGTGGCTCCCTGGCCCATCTCTTGCCACCCACCTGCCGGGAGCGACTCGGAGGACGCTGGGGACCTCCGTGCAGACCTGCTGCGCTCTCCTCGCTGTGGGATCTGAGGATGTTGCTGGTGCAGGTTGTTCTGATGATGCTTTGAGGTCAGGGAGGAACACGCTCTGATAGAGCAATGTATATAAATAGGGATAACCCAGTAGCTGGCTCTGAGATGAAGCACCAGGCTGGAGGGTCATCCTCAGGTCCTTGAGTGCTGTCTTTAGCTGTAGAGAATTGTGTTGGAGTAGAATCCTTGGTCCCTGCTGTGTTTAAGCACCTATGGGAGGTTTTGAGCCTGCTGATGTGTTGGTACCATCCCGGTCGTTGTGTATCCCCCATGAAGCTGCAGGGCTCACTGAGGAGCAGGGACCTGGGACATRTGCCCAAATGAGATGCTCCTCAACAGGAATCCAGGACAAGATCTTCATAATGGGTTTCTGTGGGAAAAGGTTCTGGGTTTTCTTATCAAACAAGCAGCAAAAAGCACCTCTAGGGCCATGGTTCTGCTTTCCTGCAAGCGCCGGGCTGGGTTCTGGTGTAACTTAGATGCATTTTCCTGYTGGCATGCATCACTTAGACATGGTGTGATGTGAAATGGCCTTAGGGTTGCCCCCACGAGACCATCCTGGGGTTTCTTTGGTGCCCTTTTGCTTCCTGAACRGATGCCCTGCTTGCTACCAGCTAAATGCTGAAGGCTCCGTGGCAGAGCTACACAGTGCTCTCCAAAGCATCCCTGTGTGCAGCGAGGTCTCCAAGCCCTTCCCGAGCTCTCCAAGCCCTTCCCCACAGCTCTGCTCCTGCCTCCTCAGTCCTTCCCCCTGGGTTTGCCCTTGTGCAAGACTCCTGGGTTGCCTTCTCGCCAATTTGGGAGTCAAATCAGGTCCAGCTGGGCGGCCACCCGTGCACCGAGCACTCAGTGGCCCCGGAGAGCTCGTCCATCTCCTTGCACGGCAGCAACTGCAAAGTCTTTGCAGCGCAGGACGTGCAGACAGGCAGCCAGCGAGAGGGGTGCGTAGGCAGATGGAAACCCCGCTGCAGAAGAGCCCTCTCGGRGTGGCTCCTTAATCCTACCCGAATCTGCTCTTTTGGCCCTGAATAGTAAAAGAAAAGAAAAATAAGAGAAAACCTTCTACAGCCTCTAGGTACAAAACTCCGATTTGCTTCAGTGGGGATAAATAGAAGAGAACTCTGTCCCCCTGGGAGGCAGCAGGAGTTGTTCGCCTGACATGGTCTGGCTTCTGGTGGTGGAAAAAACGTTGTGGCTGAGAAGTGGGAGAGCTGCGTGTTTTTGAGGCAGGTTTGAGCCCAGCAGGGTTGTGCTTTTGTGCGGGACTTCAGCCGTGGAAGGAAACGCAGCAATTGCCAAGTCAGGATGTCAGGGGCAGGGAAGAGGAGTTGGAGAAAGTGCAGAAAAGAGCCACAAGAATCATATGAGGGCTGGAAAAGTGTCCGTCAGTGAAAGACTGGAAAAGCTCTTGAGAAGGGTAGAGGAGGAGGAGGAGATGCACTGGAGGCGGGTYACAGGAGAGAGGTGGTCTTGAATCCATGTTATGGTGATGCTCTTGGTCAGATAACTCCAACATCATTGTATGGAGGTGCTGAGTGCTCTCTGGTGATGCAGARGAGTCAAAGCAGTAGCAGAATAGTGGTTCTGGCCCCACCATCAGGCACAGTTGCTCTCACAGACGCAGTGGAGGCCGCCAGACTGGTGGCCGTGGTGCGTGAGGAGATGCTGGGAGCTGGGCYCATTCAGCCTGAAGGAGGTGAAGGGAGATGTGGCTGCCACCTGCAACTGTCTGTGGATGGGGRTTAAGGGAAGAAAACCTATCCAGGCCCACCTTCAAAGCGCGTGTGGATACGACTCCTGGGTTTCAGCAGTGCTTTTTCTCCAGTGCTTGCTAAAGCTTCCCTAGACAGAGGCGATGTTGCTCCCTGTGGAGTCTGCTGTCTTCCTGCTTCCAACCCCTTCCCTTCCCTGTCCACACACCTCTGTACAAGAAGCTGAAATGCTCACAGCTATTTTTCTTCCTCCCGCTTTGATGCCATTTCTGGCCTGCTCCATCACCCCAGGATGGGATTYCTTTTCATCTCCAGCAATACCTCCACTGCCACCAAACAGAGCCYGAGCCATAGTGCCGGTGTAGGTGCTGGAAACGCACATGTTTTCCTTGCGTGAGGAATTGCAAGGAAAACCGATGTCAGAAGGTCATGGGAACCCCTGTTGGAGCAACCAGGAGTGGTTGGGGAGGCTTCTCGACCTTGGGATGCCTTTGCCGCCCGTCCCGCGGGGACCACATGCCAGGGCCAGCGCGCGTGCCGGCGCCCCGCGCTGCTCCGGGGCGCTTCGTTAGCGCTCTCTGCCCGCCAGCACTGATTGATCCCCTTTCCGCGTGGCACCCTGCCCAGGTATGTCTCCCAAAGGCCTTCGGTGCCAGCGCGTTAACAATTAACCTGCTCGGGCAGAAAGAGCCTCTGCAGTCGGGGCTTAGTTAACTGTTCAGCTGCTTATCTGAGGGCAATTTTTCTTCTGTTGAACTGGAAGGTATTTGCTAAATCGTGCGGGTGAAGCAAGTGTGAAGGTGCCGGAGCTGTTTTGCGGGTTACTGTATTCACAGCAGCACCCATGAACCCCCCAGCGTTGCAGGCAATGAAGAAAGTCCAGGTGAGAGGCAGCAGGAAGGGTTGGGGAAGGGGAAATGTGCAGGTCATGCAATGGGGAGGTAGCTGTGGAGCTGCAGCAGCTCCCGAGGGTGTCCGGCCATGCCCAGCTTGTCCCTGAAATCCCTGTATCCCCAGCTGGATACAGGGATCCTAGCTCGTGCAGGCACGAGCACGGCCCACGGCACTAGGCGCCTTTTCAAGGCAATGTGCTTTGGTGGAGATGTGTGCTGGGAAGCCTGTTTTGCCTGTGATGCACACAAAGAAACTCATTTTTGGCTTTTTTTTTAACACACAATTGCTCGGAAATGGGAAATTAGATCAGTGTTTTTTCTGGAAAGGTTCCCTTCTCTTTTGTGTCTGCAGAAAGTCCCTTCGTTTGGGGTTTTCCTGCACTCACGTGGGTTTCAGGAGCTGGAGGGAGGGTAGGGCTGAGTTTCAGCTGCTGTTTCGATAGATGCCAGTCAGGAGTGATTTGGGCAGAGCTRGTTCTCCATGGGGATGACCTGGTGTCTTCCAGAGGCCCCTCCGAGCCCATGGTGAGGATGAAGAGCGAGGTGGTCCAGGTGTTTCCCCATTACAGTATTGCAGATGGGCTATAACATCTGGAAAGATATAACACATGGGAAGGCCAACAGGTTGCTGAAACCTCTGAAGCCCGGGGGTGTTTGGAGCTGGCTTCCCCTTCCTCTCCCTTTAAAGAAAGGGCTTGGGAGTGAAACGCTCCTTGGTGCAGGGGAGCTAGTTTGGGTTCTTGCTGGAGCTGCTCCGAGCTCCCTGGGTGGGAAATATCCCATCCAAGAGCTGGATGGGGACATTGACATGAGGATCCTTATGGTGCTTTCCTCCTGCTGCTCGCCCTCCCTGCAGCTCTGCCGTTTTCCAGCCTGGGCTGACAACCTTTCAGGGGTTGCATTAAATAGATTTACAACCGGGAAGTCCCATTTGCCCCCAGATCCGCAGCCCTGGCATTAAAGCAGCACGTGTGTGTCAGGGCAGGCTGAAATACGGCCATAATATCCCCGAGCAGCACTCGTAAAGGGCAGGACAAGCGATGGCAACGCTCCGACCCTGCTGCAAACCATCGTAGACGGGCTCTAGCTCTTTGGGAAAGCAAAAATAACCCTGGCCAGCACTGCCTCATGCCCCGTCTTTTTAATTTGCTAACAGGGTTTAAGAAAAGATGTGTCCTTGGGGATTGGACAGTTTGTACTATACGGCAGCACCACAGGTGCTGGAGTGCAGAGCAGTGATTTCCCGGTATYGCCATCCCCGTGCGTTTTGGAGCGGCAGGACAGATGTCTGAATGGTTTACGACCTCATCCCGCACTTTAATTAGGCTGCTTGTGCTTAATGAGGCTTCCCATGGAGCCCTGCACTGTAAACTAATGAAATCCGAGKGTGCTGAGTTGCAGCTACTCATAAATTTTGTGGCTGCTGTTGCACCGTGGTCCTTGCAGCAAGGCAAGATGCTCGGTCCCTGCGCGTGCGAGGAAGGAGATTTCTCCAGGCTCTAGCAAGGACACGTCCCCACGTGTGTCCTCCATGTGTGCAACCTCCAACACCTTCACCCCAAGGTTCCCAGGCAGGAAAGCCAACAACCCTTGAATTTATGCATGGCCAATACCTACCTGTTGGCTACCTTAATTTACTAGCAAGTCTCAGTGGACAGTTTACCACCCATCTGCAGATCACCATCAACCTGGAGATCGCTGTTTAGAGATGAACAACATTTCAGGCTAAAAATGCAAGGATTTCCTGCTAACATCTCCTAGCAGGGATGAGCAGTCCCTGCCGGAGCCAACCTCAGATTTATTGGAAAGCTTTTACCTTGTTAAAGCTTCCCTTCCACAGCCAATATTTATAGTGAAGATAAATGCTTTGGTTCCTCCGCAATGATTAGGGGGCCAAAGGAGAAACGGGGCATTGAGGCATTGATCCACATCCCAGATGGAAGTTTCTCAGTTACCATCTTTGTTTCCTTTYTGGAGAATCACCTAGGAACTTAATTTTGGTTAGTGCTCCCTTGGGCGAGAGTACTGCTCAACCCTTAACTTCATAGCTCACCTAAGGAATGATTTAGGTACAACCTGGCTAAAAGTTAAGAGTTGGCCAAAACACACAAAATCAAGAGCTGTTATCGTTGAAAAATGGCCCTACTTGGCAGCTCTGTTGTCGAGGATATGCTGGCACTTCTGGAATCTCCTTAAAAACATATTTGAAATGCCTGCTCATATGCTCTGTTTATCAGATTATCCAGGGTTTACAGTCAACATAAGCTAATATTTTTCAGAATATTTTCTTGGAAGTCTCCCAATGAAAAGAAAAAATAAAAAACATATGCAGAAAGGTCCATTTTCGGGACCGCCCCTGCAGCTTGGATGCCCCAGCAGCAGAAAGCAGCCSCTGCACCTGCTTTCAGGTCACTGACGTTAAGCGGGACCATCAGCTGAACCTCCGGGCGCTTGGGCCACGTCTCTAGGCAGATGTGACCTTGACACAGACACCACCACCCAGGAGCAAAGGGAGCTGCAATGCTCCATCCATGATGGCCACGGATGTCCATGGCAGGAGAAGTCATGCTGTTGGACAGCCACCTCCCTGCCCATGGCTGGAGGGCATTCCCATGACTCTGCCCAGGCTGTAGCTCCCACCCAACCAAGGACACTTTCTTCTTTCACACTCCATGGATGTTGTTGGTCTTTTTTTTTTTTTTTTTTTGAGGATCAAATTCACTAGTTACCTCATCCTGCCCTTGGAGTAAATGTCACTGTGGAATTTACCGAGCTGAGGAAAAGGTAAACTGGGTTTCTCCTTCGCCAGCTGAGCAAGGCTGGGGAGGACTGTGCGTGGAGGCAAACGCTGCTGCAGCCTTCCCCTATCCAAAGCCGAGATCTCCCTTCCTGGTAGTTGGTGTCCTGTAAGAGACAGAGAGCCTATGAAATCCCAAAGACATTGAAAGACAGATTAAAACAAAGGTAATCAGCAATATGAAAAAAAATCACTTGATTAAGAAAATCCCCAAGAAACATGGGTTGAGTTTGGCTCTCTTTGGGTCAATAATCCAACCAAGGCTCTACGTGACCAGCATGTGGCTAGATGTATCTCTAGATGTTGTGCACCCATGAACAATGCTGTTGTCCTCTGGAGAGGGCCTGTTGCTCTTTGTAGAGAGGTGCAAGAGGGTCATGATCCCTTGAGTCCTCCTCAGCGTGCTGGAGATACATCCAAGTACTGCATGGCACGGCCCTGACTCAGCACAGCAAATGGCTGGTGATGGTGTTTGGGACCATACCTGGATCTTTGTCTCCATTGGTGGAGGATTTGTTATGTCTTACTGATAAATATGTAGATGCCTCGATGCTGGTGGATCCCCTTGCTGTACTGTGACATGCAGTGATGCCCGGGTAAGCTTCACTTGCTGCTGAGCCTTTGTGCCATAGACAGTGAGCGACACGGAGACGTTTCTCTTGGGGGATCAGAGGTGCAGCCTTTCAGGAAAAGCATCAGCACTGCTGAATGCCCACCCAGTGCTCATTACTTATTATCCCTGGTGGCTCAGTGGGGCAAATCCCATGGGGAAACTCTTTCCTCAGAATCCTGGACGTGCTTGAGAGCCACCTGGTTGGGAGTCTGGTCACCCTCCAACGCCTGCCCTGCTTGGTGCACGGCAGGGCAGTGGGGTACACATCTGTACCCACAGAAAATGCCTCAAACCCTGGAAACCGCTTCCCTGTTCAGCAGGAGCTGTCTGCTTTCACTCCAGCCCCATCTTCTGGGCACCAGAACAAGCTCTTAAATCATTCTAGGCCTAACCTAACTCTCCAAAGACATAAAACCAGCTTTTTGCTTTTACTTGGATGAGGGTTGACTTTCCAACTGCAGCCCAAGGAAAACCCCACAGAAAGGCCCTCCCATGTTCCATTTCTGGTGGCCTTGCCTGAGTCTCCTGGTCAGACCACTGACCTCTCCCAGCTAAATCCCATCCTTGTTCTATGGCCTGAGAGAAAGTTGCTCCAGGAGCGCCGCACAGACAGGGACATCTTCAAGGACAGACCTTGTTTTACTGTCTGTAGCTTACAGTGTGTCTGGAGACACCTAGCACAGGGCTGGGTAGGATCCAGGGTTGAGTTTGGTAGGTGTCCAGGCAATGAGAAGGTGTGGGTGAAGATATGTAGGGTCTAGATGTTCATTGTGGCTGAGACCCAACTGGTGACCCTGGAGTAAGACTGATCATGGAAATAAGGATACCTAAATCAGAGAGAAATACAACAACCATCTTCATGTCATCTGCTTCCCATGTTCTAGTTTTGGCAGTTCATGGCATAGATTGGCTAAGAATAAAGGGGAAGGGGAGAATAAAGGTTTTAAGGGAAACTTATAATGGTACTGGACAAAAASTGCATTTTAGAACTGAGCTCTTCAAGGCCATCTGAAATACACCCAAGGAAGAGATGGAAGGTTTATTTCTAAAGGTTTAACCTTTAAACCTTTTAAACCTTTAAACSTTTCCTAAAGGATGTGCTCTAGGGAGCAACATTGCCCAGGCCTATGGATGGATCAGGGATGGGAAYTCTCCATCCAACTATACAAGGTCATTTAAACCTGGGAGCAGTGTCAGAAATAATTCAAGCCCAGATTGTGAGCAATTTTAATAAATAATTCAAGCAAATGACTGTGTCCAGCCAATCCCAAAGAGCTCTGCTTCCTAAAGCCCTCCATGGAGATGACTCAGCCCTTGGACCTGAAGGCTTAACAGCAGSTCTTTTGCACAGTAAGGAGAGGGAGTTGGGTGCTCCCTATATGCCCTGCTTCTCCAAACTGTTTTGAGGGTCACAAAGAGGAGGAGCAGCCACCTTCCCTTCCATGAAAGGCAGCCCCATCATCTGCTCCATATTGCACACCAAGACRGGACAGCTCCTGCCCTGGCTGGTCTGGAGGAGAGGTAGATAAGATGGATAAGGGCACCTCTTTAACAGTCCTTTATGTTTTTCCGCCCTCCCAGTGCCACTGAGCTGTGCCTCCACCTTGCCTCCGAGCTGCCATGGCCACACTAGAGACGCTGCCAGTTCTTAGTGAGCCAACGTACCCCAGCCAGGAGAACTTCCACCCTTTTGCTCCCCGGCCTTCCCAACCCACCTCCCAGAGCACCATGGGCAGCGTGGGCAGCGGCGTCGCCAACGACCAGGAGTTCGCCATGAAGAGCGTGGGGACRCGGACGCAGAGCAGCGGCCGGCAGGCGGAGGGGTCTCGCAATGGGTATTCCACGCGGGACATTTCCAACCGCTACTCCGGCGAGGAGAAGACCTACAAGTCCGAGAAGGTCTCCAACTCCCTCTACATCAATGGCGACTTGCGCAAGAGCGACAAGGTGAAGATGGACATCTGTGGGAACGTAACCACCAACAATGAGAAGAACATGCCGCCTCCGCCCCAGTACCGAGAGCCCAGTAACCCACCAAAGATATTGCCAATCTCTGGCAAACTAGACCAGGTGAGAACCCTTCCTTCATGTTGCCTGTGTCTCTAAAACCACAGATCAGGAAGCCTTGAGCATGGTGCAATCCTGGCAGACAGCATAATTCTTACTATGCAAAGTAATTCTTATATACAGATAGTGCAATTCTTATTACTTCCAGGGGATTAAGCAAAGGGCAATGCTAGTTCTTGAGGAACCCAAGAGATCGATAACAAACCTTTCACTGCTAAGTTTCCAGCTCATTTAAGACCACATTGAAGTCATCAGCTAGTCTGACCTAGCCGAGACGCCCTCCTCATCTCCTCTGTGGAYAGTGGTGAGAGCTGCAGTCAGCTCTTTCAGTAGGTCCAACATCTGAGTCACACTTTCATATTGTGGGCCATTTATAAGTCATCTTCAATGACCCACTGGCACCATAAGGAATTGCTTGCCCATGGCTACAGTGCAGTATCTGCTCAAAATCCCAGAGCTACTTCTAACGGACAGGTCGTCACAGTTTCAGAACTACCCCTACCAGTATTATTGCACAGCCAGGCATGATCCTCATGGCTCCTGTCAGCCTCATGGAACGAACCTCTCCCAGGTCTAACAGAGCAGAGCCTCAGACCCAAAGGCAGAGGTGTTTTATATAGTATGATCTGCTCCAGCGACTCCCATAACTTGTGTCCTGGGAGGCCGCCAGGCTCCCTGCCTTGTGCTGCACGATTTCTGCAGTGCTCAGTGGCCTTATCTCCTTGGCCATTAATCTGCCACCTTCCACCAAGCCCTAACAGTCCATCTCAAAACCACATGCCAGATGCCAGGGTTTCAGTCTCTAACCTTGCCCACTCACCAGGGCTCGTACTAACTGCTTCCCATGAAAGGCTTCTGCAAATTTGGCAGCACGAGGCAGCTTCCTCTATGTTCATTTTCACCTGAACTACAGGAGAATCAACCCATTTGGGGGAAAATTTTGCTTTTCAGGTGCATTCACTGCCAAAGGAATGTAAAAACCTCTGCAAGTTTTAAATTCTTTCTGTAAATCCTTCAGAGCTGCAGTCCCTTCTCCTCCCAGCACTGCTCGTGGCTGCAGGAAACCCAGATGTTGAAGCAGCCTCACCACGTTGCTTGGCCACCACTGCTGCACTTGGGCCAGCAATTGCCAGGCCCCAAAGGTCCCATGTAATCTCCAAGTCCAAGCATAAGCAGGACACAATGTTCACACGGAGGAGGGCAGACTGCTGACAGGAGGGAAATGTGTTGCTCCTAGGCCAGGCTGGCTGCTAATCCARGGTTTCAGTTTTCAACAAGGAAACACCCCCTCACTGCAAAGAAATACTTCAAATATAACCTGCCAAAATTAAACGAGCTGTTTGGGTCAGGTCTGGGAGGCAAGTGGCAACGTTCCCTCTTGCAGAGCGTGCTACAAGAACCCGAGGAGATTTTCAGGGGAAAATCATGCAGATTTGGTCAAGATATTTTTCAGCTGCGGTGAGGGGAGATAAGAGTGTTGGCCTGTGAGTGGCCAACTCCTCACACGTCCCTCATGTTAAAACCCAATTAGTGCAAGGTTTACTAAGGCTGAGAAATGTGGAGCTAGCAAAAGCTGGCTCAACCCATCAGCTGCAGCCTGTGCCGATGTCTCTCTTATGTGTGTTGTTACTGAGCTTCCTGCTATGTTTGATGTGTGGTCCTTTTTCCTTTTGCAGAGCAATGAGCCCTTAGTTAGACCCTCAGCCTTTAAACCAGTAGTTCCTAAAAACTTCCATTCCATGCAGAATCTCTGCCCGCCGCAGAGCAACGGGGTGACAGAGAACAGAAAGAGCTTGAACCATGCCAACAGCAATAGCCCGTCCGCACCCAAAAGTGGACTCGACAAGACCAGCCTTAACAGGACTACAAACCAAGTGGGAGGCCTTTCAGATTCAGGCCGTAACTCGTTAACAAGCCTGCCCACGTACGGGACAGGCTACAGCCAACACGTGGGTCCAATGAGCGCCTCGACAAGCCACATCAACCGCATCGGGACAACCTACGTGGATAAGAACATCGTGGGATACAACGGGATATCTACCTCAGACAGCGGGCGGTCTTCGAGCAAGAGCACCTCTTCGTTCAACAGACTGAACCATCTCAACGAAACGATGCCTTTCCACTCGCCTTCAACGGATGACATCATCCAAGACCTGGAAGACCGGCTGTGGGAAAAGGAGCAAGAGGTCCTCCAGATGCGAAGGAACTTGGACAAAAGCGAGGCCGCCATCTTCCAAGTGTTCGAGGAGAAGCAGAAGATCTGGGAGCGGGAAATGGAGGACTTGAGGCAAAAYTATGCCAACAAATTGCAGCAGGTTTCCAAAAAGGCCCAACGGGCTCAGCAGGCCTTGCAGCTCCAGATCTTCAAGCTCCAGCAGGAGAAAAAAAAACTCCAAGATGACATGGGGCAACTCCTCCAACAGCGAGAGGAACTGGAGAAGAAATTCGTGGCTTTCAAGAAGGAGCAGGCCGAGTTTCTCCCGAAGATTGAAGAGACCAAGTGGGAGGTAAGGTCTTCTCTGTAATAACGGRGAGTTGTATCTAGGTCTGGGGACTTTGTTGAACAGTTTGTGCCTAGGAGATAGCAATGAGTTTGAACGCCAACTTTTCCTGGATCTGTTTGARAGCCTAAAGCTCGGCCTACACTTATGCATGGAGGGGGCGAGATTCTTCCAGACAAATTAGCAATCTAGACATTAATTAATTGCCATGTGGACACTAGAAGTGAATAAAACATATGCATTTTGGCTAATGCAAAATTCTCTTGATTTCTCTCTTTAGAGGTTGTGCTCTGGGGTGMATTTCGCAGAGATGTTGCTTGAAGTATCTCCCGTTTGTCTTCAGAGCACCCCACAGAAAGTGACTGTGGGTCTGTGGCTCCTAACTTACAGGTGACAATGTGGTCACGCACCTACCTGCCTGAGCCTCACACCTGTAGTTTTCAATTAAATTAAAACAAATGCAACTTGTTGCGTGCAAATCCTTGTGTTGGTTAATAATTACACTTCACTGCCAGGTCACTCCAATGCAGAGCATTTGAAACCGGTTTCACTGAACACAGATCTTTCCACAGAGGTATTTGTGCCTAACAAAATTGAGCTTAAGTCTTTCTTAATTAAATTCTTGCAACATCAGAATTTGGGCACCCACAAAACCCACTTTTCAAATATTTGATTTATTTTTAAAWTAAGGCTTAAAATGAGAGAAATGATACTGATAGCCAAGTTTACCTCATGCTTCTTACTATAATGCGCTGTTTCCAGTTGCTAATAAGTTTATCTCTCCTTAAAGTCTGAAAGTCAAATTCCTCTTGCTATTTCTCCTCTTGAGTCTTACCGTTTTTTCCCCCATTTCTATTTTTAGGCCATTTTATCAAACACTGTTTGTATAGCCAGCACTAGCATTTTTTTTTTTCAGCTTGATTATGTGAAGAATTTTAATCCTTCTACAGACTGGTTGGAAACTTCAAATTTATTAAGAGTGCAGAAGCAAAAAGGTAGTTCTAGAATCCAGACAACCTTATTCTGCTAGTCCTGATGGAAAGCCAATGAAGCTGGGCTTAATTAGGATCTGTAAGGTGCTATTTGCAGATGTTCAGCAGAGCTTATTACTATTATTCAGCCTGCTATTGAATCTCTGCAAGTTACATCCAGCAAAAGCTGGCTGTGCTGTCCCACCTACCTCCTTGGCCAGCTGGTCGCCCCAGGTCTTTTTTTCTCTTCCAGCAWGTTAGGGCTGGTTAAGTTCCCTGATTTTGCACTGGTAAAATTGCAGACGAGTTTTTGATTATCTTCCTCACTTTTGGAGTTCGGGCAGGAGCATCTAGTGATCTTGACGCAAAGAGGTGGGATTCAGCCTGTGGATCAAGAATCCTAAAATTTGCAGGCACCTGGGACTGAGCCACTCTAGAGGCTCCGTGGAGCCTGTCCCACTGCCCCGATTACTGCAGCCAGCAGTGGGATCTCAGAGGCCCAGAACACAAGCAGCTGCCACCTTCAAGTGTTCTAATCCATAAGCTGACTCCTATCCAAGGTGTTCTTCATCGTGTATCTCCGCCTTTTGGGAAAAGCTGGCCCTCGGAGGGGCACTTATTTAGTGAACCCACATGAAAGGGATTCAATGTTTAAACTAAGTAGTAATTATACAGCTGAAACTACAGTTAAACCAGTGTGATGGACCTGAGCGTTTGAAACAGGTAGGTTCTGGAGTGGGTGTGGATGCTCAGAGTTAGGCTGGGAAACAGCCTCAGCTCTCAACTCCAGGGAAGGCAGTGTCAGTAGGACAGGACTATGGATATGCTTCCCAGCTCTTCAGGGCTTCGTAKAGGGCTCCAAAGCATCCTGAGCTTTGAGGTCTTCCTTGGCTCTAGGCAACAGGTAGGTCTTCTGTAGCAGAGGATGGGGGAGGTTGAAATGAAGGCAGYGGAGAACAGCTACTGTTTGGGAAGCACTTTCAACCAGATCAGAACAACAGCAGACCTTGCACACACTCCACCAGGAAAAAAAGACCRAGTATTTAATTTCTGACATGAGAAAGGAGCTTCAGGACAGAAGACRCCCACCTGTAGGTAGCTACAAGTTTACTTTCAATTATGCCCTTCYGTTGCCCAGCCCAGATTCCTACCAGCACAGGTGTCAGCACTGGTGTCACCTCATCACCAGTGAGGATCAGAGTGCTTAGCTTAGCTACTGACTTAACTCCATCTGCGAAGAGCGTCAAGTCCCTGAGAGATGGGAATAAACATGAGATCTCCAACAGAAATGTGGGACAACCTCTGGTCTTTGGCATACACTGGGTCCCTGCAATAGCTGGAGGTCAGTACTTGAGCAGCTGGCTGCACAGCGTGGCTGTCCCCTCCGTTCCTTCATTCACGCTCTCCCCTTGGCCCTCACAGGTGTGCCAGAAGGCGGGCGAGATCTCTCTGCTCAAGCAGCAGCTGAAGGATTCCCAAGCGGACGTTTCCCAGAAGCTGAATGAGATCGTGGGGCTGCGGTCACAGCTCAAGGAAGGTAAGAACTTCTTGCGGGAGAAGGAGGAGCAAATCCTCACCCTGAAGGACTCTTACAGTTCCAAAAGCGTCAACCTGGAGATCTGYGAGAGCGAGCTACAAAGGAAGATGAGCGAGGTCCAGGTGCTGAGGGAAAAACTGAACCACTGTGAGCTGGAGGTCTCTGGCCTGAAGCGGACACTTGCCAGCATGGGACCTTCAGGRCCTTTCAGCGGAGACCTCGCCGAGAAGCTGAGGGACCCCCTGGCCTGCGAGAGCGATGAAGCCAAGATGCAGCGACAGAGYGAGGACAGCGTCAACACCCTGCGGAAGGAGTTGGAGCGTCTCCAAACGGAGCTAAAGCTGGAGCGGCAGCAGCGGGAGCAGCAGGTGATGGACTTTGAAGAAGAACGGCGCACGTGGCAAGAAGAGAAGGAGAAAGTCATCAAGTACCAGAAGCAGCTGCAGCTGAACTACGTGGAGATGTACCAGAAGAACCAGCTCCTGGAGCACAAGGTGAACGAGATGAACACAAAGGGCACCAGTCCCCCGCACACCGAGGAGAAAAAGCAATGGACTCCCTCCAGACTCGAGCGAATAGAGTCCACCGAGATCTGAGGTGGGACCAAGACAATAGCAGTCCCTTTTTTTATTGCTGTGCATGTACTACCTACTCAAGCCAGTGATCTTCCGAAGGATAATATGCTACCATAGGAGAGGTGTGAGCCTGCTCACACCAAGCTCCATCACCCCTACTCTATTCTTCTGTGCTCTGTAGGTAAAATAACTGTGGATGTGCGTTGGTTTTCTATCGATAATGCAACATCTCGTTTGGTTTTGTTTTACTTTTTCCTAGTACAGCTGGTGAGGGTCAATTGGCTCTTTTGTAATCTGCCGTGACTGTTACTACTCTTCACTAGAGGCTGCCATCCCTTCTCCCAACAGTTCACCCCTCTCTGSTTGGTTGGTTGGTTTGGAGGGTTGTATTTGGTTTCTTTGGTTTTCCAAACATTATGTGCAGCAAAACAGTTCAAAGTGGCAGGTTTTTTTCAGGGCGTTTTTAGCCACATTGGCTAATGGGGCAAGGCTCTAGGGATCATGAGCGAATTCAGTGCTCTGCATCAAGTATGCTGTCTAGACGGTGGTCTCAGTGAAGTCAGTGGGAGGGTGGCCACTGATTTCAGTGAAACCAGACATATCTCTACCAGATGACTCCCTTTTGCCAGCCTATGGCTACCATGGTCGCAAGAGGTTAGGACATCCTTGAGGAGCAGGATGAGCCTGTCCTGGTAACATAAGCCAACTAGGAACTAGTYGCCCAGTGGGAGCCTCTTTTGAGGCTCAGCAGAGCTTGACATATGCTGCGTTTCCTGTTTGTGGTGGCTTCCTTCATTTCCACTCCCATCTTTGGTTATGAACCAACCTGGGAGCAGAAATGCCCTCCTTCCTCCGCCTTGGTCTCACTGTTCTTCCTATCCGTTCAAGTTGGCTACAGCAAGAAAAGAAAAAAATCTCCTAGAAACCCAAGCTCGTTTACCTTCTGAAGAGCCCTCTTGGTCTAGAGCAAGCCCATAGAGTCAGTGGAACCAAGGTCCGGGGAGCCATCCAGACCTGTGGGATGGTTGTGCAACCTGAAGCTTCAGCAGTTTGCCCATTAGTGGGCAGTGGGTAACTGTGCCATCCACAACGCTTCGGTGTGTTTCCTCTGTTCMGGGTCTACTGAAGAAAGGCACCTGAACCTCACTCAGGAGTTGCGGTGAGCACATGGCATCACAGCCAGGTAATGATGAGGTCGGGAGGCGAGTGCTCACCTTCCACACAGCTGTTTGGAACAGGGCCCTTAGCAGTCCCACAGGGTATGAAATATTCTGGGGAAAAAKAAATTGCAGGTCCAGTTTAAGAGAATATTTAGCTACTAACCCAGAGCAGTTTCAAGATGGGACAATGCTTAAAAACATGCAAGTGCTTGTGCTCCTGGATGAGTAACCGGAATGCATAGTCACTGAGAATGACGTGTCAAAAAAACTCACAGCTTTCAGCTTGAAAAGGTGGGCAAAGCAGGCCTGGTTCGACCTTCCATGGACACCTCTTTARAATGATCCACAAAGAAAGGTGAAAAGCGCTCTAAAATGGGCCTTGCCCTGTCTGAGCAGAGGCCAAAGGATGATTGCAAATGATCCTCAGGGGGCATCTGCCCCAGAGGAGCTCRAGGAACAAAGCTGGAATTCACATTCATGGGCTGTCCATGTGAGGTGACCCCAAGGGGAGTCTGCCCAGACCATGACTCACCTGCGAATCAARGAGGGGCCTCAGGATGTTGAGTGGCAGGTCCCCTTCCAAACAAGACCTGAAGCTACTCCTGTACAGTGCTTCCCTCCCCCAGAGCTTCCCTCTCCATGAGTAGGTTGGACCTTTAAGTTGGGATCAAATGTTGTTCTGGAGAGCTCCAGACTGAGCAAAGAGGATAAGCAGGAGAAACGAGTCCCCAGCTTGTCCCACCAACCTCCTGCCAGAGCCACCATGCAGTACTAGTGGCCAGGCCCTGCTGCGGCTGCCGGTGGTGGACGGCAGCAATTCCTGCAGCTTTAGGAAATGGGGATGTGTGATGGGACCAGCCACTGCCACAAGCTGTTGGCAGGACCGCAGTCCCCATCCCGACCCTCCTCTTTGCTCCGGTGCTTCACGGGCTGCAGCCTGAGCCAGGAGCCTCAAGGACACTGAGGCTCTTACACGTGGCCAAGCAAATCTTAGGTCTTCCTCCATTCCATCGCTGGGCCTTTGTGAAGGAGCCCAACACCCCTCAAAGCATCTTGTGTCACCTTGGCTTTCTGTGCCCTTCTTTCCCCACCAGATCAACCCGCAGTGTCTTCCTTCCCCCAGCAGTCAGGAGGCAGCTGTGCTTGTGAAGGGCTTTGYGGTCTTTGGGAGGGAAAAAAAACAGCAAAGCACAAAGAAATTGCAAAGAGCTGCCCCAGCCTGTCATGGGCAGCTCTGAGGCCACCAACAAAGGGCAAACATCCCACAACAACACATGCCCTTGCTGCTAATGAGTCCCACAACCTAGGGGATCTTTTGCCACTTGGCTCCTCGCAGCACCTCTGACGTTACATTTGGGTTCCCACTCCCCTTCACAGGAGGCAGGGGTTCAGGCTCCAGAAAACCCACGAGCGGTTGAGTTTGGAGGATCTGCTGCTGAGGAGGTGAACCAAGTAACCACAAGTAACCCAGAACCAAGGTGTGTCAGTAACCAAGAGCAATGGACACCAGCAYCAGTCTATAGGACACCTGCTCACCGGAGCTCCACGCTAATGCATGGGCACCTCATCACTTGGATGTAGAGCTGTGATCTAGATCTGTGCAGCCTCCAGGGTGCCTGTTCCTGGATGATAGGGAGATTTGCCCACACCCACTAATGAATTGAGCTGCTGCTGCTGTTTTTCCTCCTACTAGGACTAACCAACACCCCCCCCAAGCACTCAGCTGACCTGCAGAAACCACCTCCTTAGCTAAGCTGCAGTCTCCAAGCATTAAAGGTGCCACAAAATGCAGATATTTTTGGCAAGGGCACTCCCCCAAGTGCTACGTGTGATTCCTTCACTCCAGGAATCCTCCCCACAATGGGATGGGATGCACTGTTCCCATCACATCCTCTCCCATGTGCTAGTTCTGCCCTTTGAAGTAATTACCCTTTGCTCAGTAGCTCTGGAGCAAAACTTTGGTGGGACACCTGGGTTCCTGTCACCTGTGCTCAGATCTGGCCCAGACTGGAGCTCACCCGACTCACTGCAGACTTCGGCACCACCTGATGTCGGCTTTTCCCCACTGGCTGGGTGAGGCTTTGTGGTCTTGGCTTTGGAACAGGACAACCACGGGGTGCCAGACTCATGTTTTGATGACATATCCTAGAAATGGCCAAGGAGAGACCCATTTCTATGGAGCTCCTGCAGGCCTGATAAAATGTTTCTGTCCCATAACCCCCGCCTTCAGAGTTTGGGTTTGACCATAACCCAGTCCTCCCTTCCACCTTTGCTGATGTGTGATGTTTTCAGTGCAATTCTGTAGGTCACAGAATCACAGAAATGGCTGAGGTTGGAAGGGACCTCTAGAGATCATCTAGGCCAAACGCCCTGCTCCAGCAGGGACACCCAGAGCACGGGGCACCCGGKCRCATCCAGGCGGGTTTGGGAGATCTGCAGAGCAGGAGCCTCCCYAGCCTCCCTGGGCAGCCTGTCCCAGGGCTCGGGCACCCTCACAGTGAAGAAGTTCTTCCTCACATGGAGATGGAGCTGCCTGGGGTTTCAACTTATACCCTTAAGTCTAGGTACTGCCCTCAAAATCGTGCAGGTGACCCATGTCTTCATCCAAAACAAGAAACCAGGTCATTTCTAACCTGTCCTTGGCCGATAGCAAGGGCTGTGCTGGCGGGGGGCTCAGCTCAGGCGCCCGCACTCCAGGTCCACGATGCTGTGAGCGCCGCTGTCCCGCACGCAGCGCCAGCCGACCTGGCGCTTTTCCTTGGAGGCAGTTACGTGGAGCGCCTGCCGGGGCGCATCCCTCGTGCGGGATCCCAGCCACACTCCAGGCGGGCGCACGGCYGCTCCGGCAGCACGCCCAGCCACTCCGGCGCTTCCCATCCAGGAGGACTTGGGCTCAGCGGGTTCTCCTGGGGTGCCGGGGAAGGTGCAGGCCGCCCTTCTCCCCTCCTGGTGGGAGAGGGCTTGCTGTGCTCCGCCACCCTGCTCCTGAGCTCCTGTTGYTGTCACAGGCTGCGCGTTGTGCCGGGGAGCACAACCCCCGTGTGCTCAGTTGGGGTGTGAGGAGCACAAGCGGCGCGCGTTGTTGTGCTTCACACAGTCCCACTTAGCTTCTGCCGCCGCACGGAGATCACCCGTTCGCCGAGACAGGAATCCAAGGGTTGCTCTTTCGCTGCTATGTTATACGGAGACGAGCGTGCTCGGATGTAAACCACAGCCCGGCTCTGTACATACGACAATTAAAGGAATGGACGAGAAAGCTCTGTGGCTTCCATGTCGCTCYGCTGTGTAGAGGGTGCTCGGCACCCTCGCAGCTCTCGCTGCCCCCCGGGATGCGGAGCGGGCGCCAGGTCCCGGCAGGGCCACCCGCTCCACACCGAGCCCATGAGGGCTGCGYGGCGGCCCCTCATCCCGCTGGGACGCTCGCCATCGTCCTCGGCCTTCTCCGTGACCAAAGAGCACCGCGGGCCTGGAGCTGCCTCTTGCCTTCCCAAAGGAGGAGAAGGCCATGGATGGGAACAGGGATGGAGCTGGCAGGGGATAGGGGGCACCTAGTGGAGCTGCTTCCCTGCCTCCAGCTGGGAATGTCTGCAGGGCTTCTCTTGTGCTGGTAGGACTGCAGAGAGAGAAGGTGGTTTCATCTTGGTTCCTGGATGATGAGCCCAGGTGTCCCCGATGATCCAGACTGGTTAATCGGGTTAATCACCTCCGTGCTGTGCCAGCCAGCTCCACATGTCACCCAGGGAGGGTAGGGAGCAGCTGCTGTTCCTTTTTTTCTTCTTTCTTCTCAGGGAGTAGGGAGTTTCTGTATCTGTCTGCACGCTGGGACAGTGTGAATCGGGCAGCAATACTGTTCCCTCCTTCCCAAGGAAACATCATCTGAGGATGGTCACTGCTCCTGTGGCCCGGGATGCTGAGGCATCTCTGCTTGCCTTAGCTCCAGGACGGCTCCTCACGCTGGTCCCGGCCTTGGGCAGGGCCCGTGTGAGACGGGGGTTCATCTGCCCCTGGAGAAGGGTGCTCAGTGGGCTGGGACATAGACACACGGTGGCCCTTTATGGAGCCCCCGCTCCATGGTGGTGCCAGGCCTTCATTCCACTCATTCCTGCCAAGACCCCAGGAGTCCAGTGAGGTGCAGACAGTGACAACCTTCCCTGGCCTGGGCACAGATCCAGCTTGTTCCTAGTCTAACCCAACCCTTGGCCTAAGGGTTAACGACCACTCCACAGGGTTACTTCTCATCAAGATACCACTCTTTGTCTTGCCCGTGTCCTGCCTCTCCTGCTCCCCAGTTCTCCACACTCCCTGGACTCATCTAGATCATCAGCCCCTACTGCCCAAGGAGCAGCTGGTGCCTCTTCCAGCGCCCTCCCAGTTACTTCCAGGAGCAAGAAGGAGCCGCAGCCCAAAGCCCCCGACAGTAGCTTGTCCCAGTCTTGTCCTAGAGGAGCTTCCTACGGATCCTCACCTCTTCCCTTGGTCCGTCCCAGGTCAGCTAGAAGGGCCCTCCTCTACCTTCCACCCTGTTTCTCAGTGTAGGACATCCCCATGGGCTGCAGTCCCCTAAGCCACAGCGAGGAGCTTCACACCCTGCCAAGAGGGCACACAGCGCCCACGGCACCCGCTCCCCAGCATCACACGGCACTGGGAACACAGCCTGCGCTGGCTTCCCAATGGGATTTTCCATGGTGGCAGTGGGGCTTTTGGCAAAACCAGATCTGGGGTGCTCTGTCTGCAGGACAAACCCCTCCCTGGCTCTCCYGATGAAGGAATCAAGTCAGATCTGGAGATGGGACAAGCGCTGACAGGAAGGGTTACGTTTATTTAAGGCACTTTTAGAGATCTGTTTGCTCTCTGTTTTCCATCACAAAGCAATAGATTTTTTGTGGGGTTTTTTTTTTTTTTTTTGTTTTCTAAAAAAAAAAAAAAAAAAAAAAAAAGATTTTAAAGGGGCTACTGCTACCCCTGATAGCTGCAGGTAAGATTACATTCCCTTGAAGACTTCCGTAGCTCCAGCCCTGGGCTCTCCTTTGGAAAGGGCCAGGCCAGGCCTGGCTCCAAATAAGCACTAGTGGCCTGCGTTTGGCTGCCCCCACTCACCCCGAGAGCCCAGAGCCGCCGTAACCAGCAGGGCAGCTGGGTGCCAGGGCACGGGACCCTTGGGCACCCATCCCGTGACTGTTACGGGCTCCCTGCAATAGGTCTTTAGCTCCCTGGCATGGGAGCCGCGGGGTCCCCAGGCGTGTCTGAGCTCGCAGATACCAACGGGAGACCAAGCCTTCAGCACTGCCCTGGGGGCCAGGCCATCCGAAGGGCCCTCCTGGAGCAGAAGGGGCCCCTTCCCGCGTCGGTCGGAGGGACCGAACGTGCATGGGCAGAGCTCCGCCGGGCAGCAGTCTATGCTCCGTGCAGTCGGTCCCTCCGCGCGCAGCGGCRTCCCGCGGGGCTGGGACCCTCCAAGGCCTCTCCTCGTTTGCACTGCCGCGGCCCTGGTAAAGGCTGTGAGCCCAGCGGCCCCTCCGGACTCCCTCTCGGCCTCGAGGCTTCCCCTCCTGCTGAAGCAGTGCACATCGCCCGGCACTTGTGTCCTCTCTCGTCAGCTTCCCGCCGCAGACCCGTCCCCAGGGTCTGTCTGATCTCACCAGCAATAACAACCCCGCGGAGAAGCCGCCAGGGCCTCGCGCGGCCGTCCCGACACCGGGCAGGCTCCGCGCACCCGCGGGACCCCACATTAGGCCCTTTCGTCCCRAGTTTTGGATCTTGCCGCCTGTAAATTCACTCCCGGCCTCGTGGTCTCCCTCCTCTGTTTGTTTCTCGGAGCCTCGGGCTCTCCCGCTGCTCTTACTGTGAATTCAAACCAGAAGTGTTCTGAACTCGACTCTGTTACTGTTTGTTCTGCGTTGACTGTTGATGGTTCTCTGAACTGCGTTTAAGGAGGTTTTGCAAATAAAAAAAAAAGAAAAAAATCAAAAAATATAAATATATATCTATATATATACTTTAAAAATAAAATATTTAAAAAGAAATTACTTCATGATGTTGGGTGTCTGTCCTGTCCCCTGCTCACTTCCAAACATGGTTGTCTTGACTTTGCTTCTGGTCGGTGTACTGAAAGAAAAGAGCTCGAGAAAACTAAAGGGGGAAAAATGCAATATTTGGGGATTTTTGCACCGCAAAGGTGCAGCCGCTGCGTGTTCCCACCAGGCCACTGTGGCRCGAGGAGCTCCCGCCTGTGCAGTTTTCTATGGTGAACATATATACATATATATATATATATGTACAGAGATATGTGTGTATATGTATATACATATATACATATGTATGCGGGTCTATATGTGTATGTATCTCGGAGCGCGGCGGATTTTTATTCCGGCTCAATAAACGGCAGACAGGCCCCGCTGAACCGTGACCGTGTGGCTGCCTCGTGGTGTCGCCGAGCGGGACGSGGACGGGGATGGGGACACGGGACAGGCCCCTATGGCGGACCAAGATGGCGGCCCCCTCAGGCCGCCATGACGAGGCCGAGGCCCCGCGTCACGTGGCTCYGCCCCGTTACGTCACGCGGCGCGGCGTCACGTGAGGAAGGCGCGGGTGTGGCGGGCGCGCGGTGCCCTCTGGCGGCGCCGCGCGCGCTCGCGGGCAGGGCCCCGYTCGGCTGCCGTAGGCCGGAAGCGCGTCGCGGTGAGGCGGGCGGAAGCGGCGGGGACGGCGGCGGAGGGCCGCGGTGAGTGGCGGTCCCCGCGGTTGGGGCCGCGGCGCATGCGCGGGGGCTCCTCCCCGCCGGGCCGCGCCCTGTGGCGGCCGCGGGGCCGTGTCCGTACGGGCAGGCCCGCGTGTTTACACCGCGCGGGGCAGGGCCGGGCCGCGCCCGCCCGGCTGAGTTAACGTCTACAGGCGGCGGGTTGGGCTCTGCCTGCGGCTAAGCCGGGSTGCGGTGGGGAGGAAAGGGGGGCAGAAAAAGCCGTTTTCTCCCCCATTTTGGCTCTCTGCGGGCCGCCCGGGGTAAGTGCGGGGCGAGGGAGCCGCGGGGGGGGGTCAGCTGCGGGAAGAGGAGCTCTGCCCCCGGCCCCGCTCCCTCGCGGCTCCCGGGACCCGGAGCACGAAGGGCCCCAGGCTGCGCCCGCAGGGCCGGGCCCGCGCCCGGCCTCCCTTTGGGACACGAGCGCTTGGGAAGCGGGTTCCCCAGGCTGCGGGGGGGTGTTGTGGTTACGGGGGTGTCGCGGTCGGGGGGTGTCGCGGTTCCCCAGGGAAACACGGAGCGCTCCGGGGGCGGGCAGGGAGGCAGGTTCCGCCGGGRAGGGAGCGCTGAGGGAGCCTGGAAGGTCATAACGGGGGCTGCGATGGGGTGAGGTGAGGGGCAAAAGGTCTCTTGGACCCGACCTGCTTCTTCCCGGATGCTGCAGGTGTCCGGACCTGCGCCGGCCTCTCTGTCACCGCGTGGCGTGGCCTCCTCCACGGCCGTTTTGCCGGATCSGGAGCAGTGCGGGAGAGGTGCTCCCGTGGCGGGAGCGCGTCACCGTGCCCACTGCACGAGGCGCCCGGCCCCGCGCCGGCCTCTCGCTTTGGCTCCCGGCCTGCAGGTGCTCCTGGCGGCTCTGAGCTGCTGAATGGTCTCCGCTCTCAAGGCGAGCAGAATTTGCTTWAAATACGTGGCATGCATCTCGCTCGCGCTTCTCTGTGTCTCAGCCAYAGAGAAACAAATGTATGATGTGCAAAACAGGTAGAGTGGAGCCTAGGTCGGATAAAGCTCGCCCAGCAGCTTGAACCACCCTTAACGTCCCCCAGGTGAAGCTCCTCAAGGAGACACCCCCGGAGGGGAAGGGTCTCGTTCCTGCAGCTCCGGCCGCCAGGAGGTGGTCTCCAGGAGGTGGCCTCCAGGAGGTGGCCTCCAGGAGGTGGCCTCCAGGAGGTGGCCTCCAGGAGGTGGTCTCCAGGAGGTGGCCTCGCGTCGCTTCCCGCCCCTTCAGGCTGGGTACGGAGGCCAGCAGAGATGGAAGTCGCCCCTCAATGCAGCGCTGGGTGCTGAAACGCGGCTCCCGCGCCCTCCTCCCCGGGCTCTGCCCTGTGCCACGGTGCTCCCACGTGCTGGGCCGAGACACAGGTCACGTTCCAGGCAGCCTCTGCTCCTGATGAGCTCCTCATCATGCTGATTTGCCAGTGTTAGTTACTTTGGCATCCTTCTTGGATCTTCTTTCTTCTTCCAGGAATCTTTCGGCTTGGCCTCCCTGCTCTTTGTCCCCAACCCTGTTCTCCACCCTGGCTGCTTCTYGTGTCTCTCTYCCTGCTCGGGACCTCTGAGGCTGTYGCTGCTCCGGCTGCTCCTGCTCACCAGGCACTTGGTGGTTACTGTCCCCAAGCTGTGGCTGTGGAGCAGAGACCTTGAGGTGGCCTCAGCTGCCTCTGTGCAGTCAAAACGGTTGATCCCTGAGGAGTGAATTAATCCGATGGATGTGCCTGGGAGCAGYTCGTTGCTGCTCTGCTTCCACAGGCCTCTCCCAGGCATTTCAGCTCTGTGCTGGGATGCCATCCTGGGAGAGAAGGAGCTGGAGGCAGAGCAGCCTGCAGGGAGCAGCAGCAGAGCACAGAGACGTGTTCCCTGCCTGCCCACTCCCCTTCCTGCTGCCGCTGCCAAGGAGGAGCCTGGGGAGCACGAGAAGCAGGATCAGCCCTCCCAGCTCCCCATGTCTCGGGAAAACAGAGCAAAAATGTCACTCGGTCTCTTGCCTTGTCCTGTCTCCACATCTTGCCCTTCCTTGGGAGGAGCCTGTGCTCTGCTGTTGTGATGGAGGAGATCAGCTAACGGGGCGTGGGAGAAGGTGGGAGTTTTGTCCTCCAAAGGAGTGAGAAACCCCAGTTTCTGTTCAGCCAGGCCTGTGTGTAATCCCCTAATCCCGCGGCAGCCCCTTCCTCCTCCTGCAGGTGGGATTTGCCTGCGCTGGTGGGACGTCCTGACCGATCCTGGCGAGGAAGGCGGAGCTGGGAGCAGTGTCCATCGGGGCTCGTTTGCCCCCGGTTAGGAGCACCGAGGCCGGTGCGTACTGAGGCTGCAGCCTCGCCCAGGCTCCAGCCTTGTTGGTGGCTTCGTGTCCTGCGGGTCTCGTTCTCAGGACAGCGTGAGCGCGGGCGAGTGGTAGGAAAGGAGTCGACGGCATCCGTGGGGGTGGGCACGTGGGGTGGGAGAAGGACCCGCTGCACGGAGCGCTGACCTGGGGCTTTGTTAATCCCTGTCTGGATCACCGGGAAACCAGCTCACTTGGCAGCTCACCCGGCAGCACCGCCTCAACAAGCTCCTCATCCCCTCATCCTCATCCCCTCGGCTTTGTTCCAGGGCTGCTTTTCTCTATTCCACTGGTTTCTCACTGCAGGTTATGGGCTGGCTTTCCCACTGCTGGTTTGCAGGAGAGTTTTCACACAGCCATTTGCAGACACCCTCGTGCGAGAAGCCCTGCTGCTCCGCGGATRTTCCCGCAGCTCCTTGGGTGGTGGTTTGTGTGTCAGAAGGATGTTGAAGCAGGATGCTCTGTTTGAACACAGAAAAGACTTTTGAAGGTGCAGCTCCATCAAAAAATGTTTTCCATGTGTTTAAAATGAATGAAAAGTAGTTTGGGTCCCTTGCAAAATGAAAAAGAAAGGATATTTTTTCCCTTAACTTCTCCAGTTTCTCTCAGATTACTTGTAACTGCTGAGTAGCTGCTAATACCGAAGTGTTATGTGCCCCGTCTTCAGGTTTATCTAATTGTCAGGGTGTTTTCTTGAGCTGTTGTTCCATAAACTGGTGGTTGATAGCGACTGAATTGCTGCCTCRCTGGGAACGATCCCCCTTCAGGAGGGGAAACAGCGACCTCCTCTTAGCTGCGGCTAGCGTAAGGGTAGATTAAAAAGTGCCTCTAGGCAGGTGGAAGCCACTCATTCTTCGTCTGCCCTTTTTTCAGTACCTGGAAGCAGTTCTGACCCCACTAAGTTGTGAGCCATGGCTACAGTGCTAATCCGGCGGAGCTTCCCGGGACTCAGCAGGGTGGCTGCGTTCGCCACGCGGCGCACGGGCGCGAGCGGCCGGCGGGAGCACGAGAGGGAAGAGAGCCCAGCGGGGGCCGGCGCTGGAGCCGAGCGCGGAGCCGCCACCYGGCCGCCGAATCCTGCGGGCTGCAGCGTCTCGTCCGATCCCCGCGCCGGGAGCAGAGCTGCCTCGCAGCGGTTTGGGGCTGCGCGGAGGGCCCCGGGCCCCGGCCTCGGCAGCGCTGGCGCCGGGTGGATTCGGAGGACGGTCAGCACCACCTCCGCGCAGGCTGAGCCGGCTCCCAAAAATGCCCTGCCGGACCCAACCTTCAAACCACTCCTTGAGCAGGATATCTCGGCACCAGCCAAGGAAGAGGCAGAGAAGGAAAGGGCAGAGATGCACGACTCTAAGGAGGACCCACGCATGTTCCAGAAGGGCAGGCCCGAATACCAGTCTCTCAGCTACAATACGCTGGAGCCCATCRAGGCCCTTCCCGCAGAGGAGGGGGAGGCGATTTTGCGCAGAGTGTCTGCGTGCGGGGACAGCGAGAGCGCCGAAGCCCTCGCGGGGTACTTGTGCCGGCTGAGCCGCTTGCCCGCGGAGCGGCGCGCGGCGCTGCGCTCCGACCCGCGCTTCRGCAGCCTGTGCCGCGGCGCCGCGCGCGCCCTCCGCTCCGTCAGCACCCCGCAGCTCCTCGATACCCTCAAGGCCTTGGTTCGCGTGGGGGCTCCCGCGGCGCTGCCCGCGCTGCGCGCCTGCGAGCGCGAGTGCTGCCGCCGCGCCTGGGACATGGACGTGGAGCAGCTGCTGCTCGTGGCCGACTGCTGGCGCTGCCTCGAGCGCAGCGTGCCCTCCTACCTGAGCATCTTGTTCAGCTTTGCCAACATGCACTGGAAGGAGCTCACCTTGCCCCAGGTCGTTCAGCTCATTTATATCATAGGYGAGGGCCGCAAGTCGCCCGCGGACCTGGTGCAGAAGCTGGAGAGCTTGATTCTGAAGTACTTGGACGCCTTCACCTTGGAGGAGGTGGGTGCCGTTTGCTTAGGGCTCTTCAAGTCCATCAGCGGTATCTCTGACCACGTCATGAAAAAGATTGCCGACAGGGTGGCCCTCCAGATGGAGGACATGAGCAGCTACGCGCTGGTGAACGTGCTCAAGATGCTCCGCTACAGCCGCATGGACCACCTGCCGCTCCTGAGGCAACTCGGAAAAGTGATCCCCCCTCGGATTCCCACGATAAACATCCAGGGCATCATGCACGTGGCTCTTGCCTGCTCGTCCCTGCACTACTACAGTGAGGACATTTTGGCCGCCGTAGCCGCCGCGTTGCCGTCCAAGGTGACTTACTGCCGAAGCAAAGACGCTGCCAAGTTCTTGTGGTCGTTTGGATGCCTGGACTACGAGCCCCCAAACGAGGAGCAGTTCTATTCCAGTCTCATAGAGCAAATGCACAGAAAGCTCCACGAATTCGAGAAGTTTCCAGAGCACCTTCTTACTGGCTTGCTGGGCCTGGCGTTCGTGCAGCGCTTCCCAGCCGACCTCATMGACTTTGCTCTGAGCGCTGAGTTTGTCCAGAAAACCAGAGAGAGCAAATACGAGCTCGGGAAGGACCTGCTCACCCTCAGCAAGAGCGTCGAGATCGAGTGTCCAGGTTACAAAGGCAGCCGCCTCTCCCCGCAGCTTTCCAAGGAGATCACGGAGATGGTTTTGAATTTTGCYGAGGAGGAAATCTACGTGAGGCCTGAAATCGTGGAGGCCGTTTCCCTGCTGGAGAGCGTGCTGGGTGGCCCTGAGTACGTGAAAAGCCACATGCTTTTGCCCCACACCAGATCGAGCGATCTGGAGGTTCGTTTGGCCCTGGACGGACATCCCGTCCCCTTCAACTTCAGCGGGGCGGCTGCACACCAGCACCTCCAAGACATCGGAGTCAGCCTGACGGATGATTTACTGACCCAGCTCATAAAGGGCAGACCTGGTGGCCRGGCTCCTGCGGAAGCGGGACACGAAGCCAGGGCCGGCGGTGGGGAGCGGCTGGAAGCAGCTCAGGCTGCAGGTCGTGCTCATGGAGCTCCTGGTGCCAGGCTGGAAGTCTTACCTAATTCCCAGCGCTCTCTTGAAGGCCCCTTTCCTCCTGCGCCCGCTCAGCAGCCTCGAGAGGTGAAACTGGCGCTTCAGGTGTCCAACCGCAACCACTACTGCTACTGCTCCAAGCGGCTCCTGGGGCTGCACAGCCTGAAGCGGCGGCAGCTCCGGCGCCTGGGCTACGTGCCGGTGGAGCTTCCCTTCTGGGAATGGTTCCCGCTGCTCAAACGCACGCGCTCGGAGAAGCTCAGCTACCTGCACTACAAAGTGTTCAACCCGGCGCTGTTCGGGGGAGCGGGGCCCTAAACGGCGCCTGGCGTCGCGCTCGGAGCTCTCCCGGAGGCTCCTCGGGATCTGGACCTGGATGTTAGCTGAGTTTTTGGCAGGAATTTTGCGTGCTGAGGGTGCCCCGGCATGCGGGCCGGTTCTCTGCTGCTTTGCTCGCCGTCTGCTGTCTCGTGCTGCCCTTTATTCTGTAGATCCTCAGCTGTTTCCATTAGAAATAAAACCGGCTGTTGTATGTGCTTCTCTCCACAATTACTGTTGTTCCTTCCCCCTGAGTGAAAGCGGGTGGATTTGGTGGCTCGATGCTTGGGAATAGGATAGTGCCAGAGCCACAGTGAGAGGTAGGAGAGAGTTGGGATGGTTTTTGGCCGTGCAGGGTGCACACATCTCTGTTTCCTCAGTATTGCTGATCTGTGGTGAGCAGGTGGATGTGCAGTCCAGGTTCCTCCGGGTCTGGATATAAGCAGACACGAAAGCTGAGCAGAGAGCCGGGATGCTCTGACCTGACAGGTTCGTTTCATTTTCAGCTCTCAGCAGTGGCTGKCAGCGAGGATTTACTTCCCATAATGATCCTGCTGCTGCATCTGTTGCTAGGAAGGAGGAATCAGGGCTGCAAATCCAAGTGGAGGCTTCTCCTGTGCCGGGGTGACGGCGCCTGTTGCGTTCTCGCTGTGCGGAGCATCTGCTCTGGAGGCTGTGCGTTTCCCCTTCTGCCACGTTGCTCACTGTGTTATTTTCTTGCTCAGGATGTGGCCCGTGTCTTATTTCTGCACCATGTTCTGAAGACAGAGCGGSCGGCTGCTTCCTGAGCCTCCAGACGGCATCTCTCTCCGAGGTGAGGGCAGTTCCTGAGCTGCACAGGGAAGTGCATCTCAGCAAAGCTGCAGGAATTACCCGTCTGGAGCAGCAGGAGACGCTCCCGTCGCCTCTGCGGAAGCGGCCGGACCTTTCTGACCACTTTGCAGTGCGACGTTTTGAGGCGGAGGGTGGGAAAGACGAGCGGCTGCAGCCTTGTTGCTGCCCCACCGCCTTGTGAGCTCATTCCGCTGCCTGATGTAAAGTGGCTGGAATGTTTTTGTTTTATTGCCCTCCCTCAAATACTGGATAACGCAGAGCCTCTCATTTCAGTGGCTGCTGTGCATGTTCTGCACTGCTGGAGCTCCCTGGTTGCCTGCAGGACAACCAGGAAGAGGCACTGAATGGGCTGATTATGGAAAACACTGTTTTAGACAAGATCCCAGAGGAGCTTGGGGTGGCAAAAAGGATAATTTGGATAGCTTTGAATATGCACTGAAAGACTGCAAATTTAGTAAAGGAGTAAGTTCTTTTTAATTAACCAAAACTAGTCGCCGGAGGATGCTGAGAGCTCGGTAAAACAAAATGAAAATCGAGGACGTGAGTAAGAGCCTCAGGCTAGGAAGACGCTTTCCTTCCTGACTGGCTCATGCAAGGGAAGAGCARGGCAGCAGTTCCCCGTCTTTCACAAAACCAGAGCTCAGAGGGCTAAATTAACCAGGCACCGGGTCCAGAATGAACCAAAAGCAACAYTTTTTGTTGTGCAATCTGTTATTAATTTGGGCATCTTTACCATCATAAGAAACATGGGCCAAAAACTAGACCAGTTCAAAAATCCACATGCAGAATTCTGCTGTGACGAGGCTGCAGCAGGAGTTCCTCCTTGTCTTCCTCAGTTGTTCCCCGTTCAGGGGTGGGAATGGCTCTTCATCTCTGTATTAGCAAAAATGGGGCTAGAAAGGAGTATTGGGCTGTGCTTTGTGGGCAGGTAAAGTGAGTTTGGCCAAGAGGCCTCCCTGCATTGCGGTCACTGCTCCCAGGGCCAAACTGAAGTGCTCCCAAAAGGCAATTTCATTTCGACTGAACTAACACCCTCGGTAGGAAATCACTCAAGGGGCTACTTGTTCCTGAAAGCAGCAGCAGGTTCCTGATTTGTAAAGCTGCCCAAGGCAATGACATATTTAAACTAAGGTTAACATAAGGTTAAAACTCTCACCTTGCAGAAAATTTCCTTCTTAAAAGGCATCTGATACAACCAATTTGAGTCGTGTTCACTTGAGTTGCTGTAATGAACTGTCAGAAGAACCAACTGGGTCTGTGGTCAGACACAGATCAGCTGTCTCGGAGCTCCTCTGCTCCCTCACAGCTATTAAATACTAATCAGTGATGTTTGTATTTAATCTTAGCTTTCCTCTGCGCGTCCTGGAGCCCTCAACTCGCTACATCAGTGGTGGCAGAGCCGATTCCTCATCCCAGGAGGCTCTGTCCGAGCTCAGCACCTCACACTGAGTCATGTCCAAGACCTCCAGCTGCTGAGGGAGCAGATAGACAAGTCTTAATTACTGATTAAGACAAGTCTTAATTACTGATTAATCCATAGGCAAGAAGCTTTTGGTGAGAAAAGCCTTTTCCAAACTCTGATGTTTCTGCAAGGGCTCCCATGTGAATGTTTCTGTGCGGGTTTCTCTCAATCCCATGTCCTCACCGTAGGTTCTTATGTCTCTCGGACACGGATTTCGCCTCCCTGACTCAGAGCRTAGCCACGTTTTGGAACCACCAAACTCGTAGTTGGCCCCGGCTCTGAAACACGAGGCTCTTTCACCGTGTGCTGCCGTTCACTTCTTTTTATTCTGCTTTTTCTTTACAAGCTGAATCGGATGCTCAGAAAGTGAGCTCTCTGCAGCTGCAAAGATGGTAATAAACGTCTGTCTCCCACAGTTCAAGCCGCGAATTCACTGCAACAAGGTAAAAGGGCAACGGGGGATGTTTGGGGAGCTGGAGGGGTTAGGCGGAGCTGTCGTGCAGGACTCAGCGGGGCTGAGGAGGGCTGGTTCGCTGCATGCAGAGATCCAGGGTCTGGGGTGCTCAGAATCTGCCTGTCGCTCACGTGGACATAAAATGGAGTTGAAAATATGTTGGAAAATCAGTGTTTGGTGTCAGAACGCTGCGGGTGTTCTAAYGGGGAAGGAAAACACCCTGATTTTCAGGGTCTCCTAGCAGGACAAAGCTATGTCCTCCCAGGTGTGGCTGCTTTAGCTTTAGATGCCTGCAGAAGTCACTGTAGGTTTTACTCTCATGGCTAAGTTGGCTCCCTTTGGCCTGGCTTCTCCTGAGCTCCTTCCTCTGGGTCTCTAGTGGTTTCCAAGCTTGTCCTTCCTCCAGCAGAAGCCCTGAAGGGAGGTTTTGGGCACATCAGAACCTGCTGGGGAGCAGGATCCCAATTTAGTTGAGCAGAATGAGGCCCTCGCATCCATCATCTGCCCGTGTTGGCATCAACGTTGGTTCTGCCCCCTGAATTTGGGGTGACACCTGCTCGAGGGGTGAACCAGCCAGCTCTGCTCCTGAAGTCCCTGCAGCCCTTGCTTTAATTCACTGACATGGTGAAAACCACAAACCATACGTGTTTTTCTGCTCCTTTACCAAATTAAATGAGCTCTGCATCTCACCTGTCAGTAACAGAGGGGCAGAGAAGAGAGGGTGTCACCACAGGCTGGGAGGAGGGTGGGAATGGATCTGCTCTCCTTAAGGAGCAGGGATCTCCTGTGGTTTTCAGCTGCACCCAAAACTGCAGCTGGGCTCCCACTGTGCTTCCTCTTGTGGATCTATTTAAATGCTTGTGAAACCAGGTGCTTTCTATTTTCCTGATTCAAATTAAAGCCAGTACTTCTCCCGAAACGCAGATTTCTGCGGATGGTTATGAAGTGGAGAATCTCATCTCTGAAGACCTTGCCAGAAGGAACCGTGGCTTCCGCAGCGAGTACTTCATCAAGCCGCCGGTCCACATCACCATCTCTTTTCCCTTCAACATCGAGATCTGCAGGATCAATATCGACATTTCCTCCGGAGGGTACCAAACCTTCACGGGCCTCGAAGTCTGCACCTCTACCTCAAGCAACAAAACGTCCTGGCAGAGCCCCGAGGGCCAGTCCTCGGGCCTGGCCGGTCAGCCCGTGTCGGACAAAGAGGCGTTCACGCTGGTGGGCAAAGCTGTGCTAAAAAATCAAAGCAAAGTGACGTTTGGCCACCGAGGCTTCAAGCCGAGGCCTCCCTTCCATCARATGGAAAACGTCCTCTCCTATCCCGGCTCGGCATCCCAGGACCTGTGGAACAAAGGGCCTGCCTCGCTCAGCAACGTGTCACACTTAAAGATCTGCATCACGCACGTGGCCGGCGGCGGGCTGCCCTGCGTGAGGCGGCTGGAGGTGTGGGGCCAGCCGGCCAAGTCGTGCCCGCAGGAGGTGGTCGAGGGCGTCTTCCAGGTGGCCTCCCAGTGCTCGGCCCAGGACGCCGGCGGCCCCAAGCCCGAGCCGTGGGCGCCCATGGAGAGCGACTGCGCGCCCTTCGGCACCGGCGAGAGCGAGCGGCAGGCCCTGCGCCAGCTCGTCGACGCCGTCCAGGACGTCCCCGAGGAGTTTCTGGACCCCATCACGCTGGAGATCATGACCTTGCCCATGCTGCTGCCCTCGGGCAAGGTGATCGACCAGAGCACCTTGGAGAAGTGCAACCGCAGCGAGGCGGCGTGGGGCAGGGTGCCCAGCGACCCGTTCACGGGGGTGGCCTTCAGCCAGCACTCGCAGCCCCTGCCTCACCCCACGCTCAAGGCCCGCATCGACCATTTCCTCCTGCAGCACAGCATCCCCGGCACCAACCTGGTGGGCCGGGCGCGCGCCGCCGAGGCGCTCGCGCCTTCCTCCCTCGCCGGGGCCGCTCTCAAGAGGAAGATGGACTGCATGGATCACAGCCCCGCGCAGCCGCCCCACTTCGCCGCCACAGACTTGCTTGTCGTGTCTACCTCAGAGAACAGTGCTAAAAAAATGAAAACTGACACTGACTCCCACTTGATCCAAATGGACTGTTCAACAGGTACCTCGGCTCCCGCATTCGCTTCTCTTTCCTAACTGGCCTGGGCCTGGTTTTCATGTCAGGAGGCCCCAGTCCAGATTCTCAGGCCACATCTGGGAGGCTTTTCAGGCTCTTGTGTTTTGCTTTGGATGGACATCACAATGGAGATGAGTTTATTGTTGTATTTTTGCCCCCTGAGCACAGCCTGCTGTCCAGGGGTGGTATTTACTTCATTCCGTGCCATTATTTCCTCATCTCTAGGCTCCTTGTTCTCACCTTTTTGGTCCTGCACAGGCTGCTTCACGACTCTCTTGATGGTTCAGGTCACCCTGTTTCTTTTTTCATTTGTATTTCCTTTCTGCTTGTTGCTTTCCAGTCACTCGCATGARGATACAACCTTTTTTGCTCATAATGTGGTAGTTTTTTTGTTTTGYTTTTTTTAATCRGGGGTARTTTATTGCTCTGGATACCCACTTAGCACTAGAGGCTGTTGCAGGAGTGCAGGACACTGTAGCTTTAGCAGCTCCCACACAACAGGATTTAAGTGCTGGGGCTGACTTCTTAGGAAGTGACAGTCTTTAGAAATCAGGGGTGATTGATAGTCAAGCCCCAAGGAAACCCACACCTCTTTCCAAAAATCTCTTCCCCCTTGTGGTTTAGCCCCAAACCAACAGTATTCTCATCGCCAGTCTGTGGTGAAGAGCTCAGCTCRTGGGGAATTGCTCCTCCACGCTGGTTCTTTTGCTAGAATCTCTGTTTTGCTCTGCTCAGTTTTCRTCTTGCTTACACAGATACCAAACATGTATCAGCGTTGCTGTCTTTGCAGCTCGTACCTGGATATAGTTGTGTTTCCTACAGCAAATTCTCTAATTTTCCCTCTGGTACCATTAAGCTGAGCTTTAGGTAGCACTCCCAAGGTGGGGAGGAGAGTAAACTTCAGCTGGGGGCAGCTTTAGCAAGCTGGTATTTAGCCGAGAGCCAGGAGAGCTGCCCTGTCTGTGAGGCCCTGCATTGCAAGCAGGTAGGACGRTGCAAACAGCCGGTGCTCGCGTGGCTTCTGGGCACAGAAGGGCTCTCTCGAGGCAGGTAGGTTGAGTTTTCTTGTGTGTCTCCTCTAAACTGCTCATCTGAAACATGTCAAGTGGCACTCGTGGTTGCTGTTAGTCCCCATTGGCACCTAGAGCCTTCCTCCTCTTCCCCAAAGTGCTAAGCCATGTGTTGGAGGGAAAAGCCTTGATTTAAAACACTTTCTTTGATTTAAAATGTGTTCTTTAAAGAGTGACTTGAAAATAACAGCATTTTGGCAGCACCAGAAACTGCAGGGAGGAGCTGGACAGCACACCGCTGCTCTGATCTCCCTTCTGGAGCCCKTGCTGGATTTTAGGGACAGTCACTTGTGATTTTTCATTGCAGGGGGCCCGCTGGGGTCCTGCAGCTCTCAGGAGAGCCGTGTCCGGATGCAAGTGCCTGGCCCTGAGAGCTGCTTTCCACATCAGCCCTGATTGCCGCAGTAACTGTGCGGCGCTCGTTCCGAGCTCCTCCTCTGGGAGATTTATTGAACAGAATTAACGGCGCAGACACCATTTTCTTAATGCACAGACTTAATCAAAGGCAGGCACTCAGAAAAGAAATGCTGTTGTATCCGTCGGGAAAAGCTCCAGCTCCGCTACCTGTATCCCTTGGCTTGGGTTTAGGTCCCCTCCTGAAGTATTCCAGAGGCGAACGGCRCTTGTGTCGGCACTCACCTGTTCCCAGCAGCGCTCGAGCTTGTGCTTCTCTTTGCAGATCTGGTCTCCCACGAGCAGAGACTCTCGGACAGCCTGGACACGGCCCTGACCTCGGCGCTCAGCTCGATGCCGTCGTTCACGGCGCGGCTGATGCGGGGCCAGCAGAGCGAGGGCGGCTGCAGCAGCTCGTGGGGCAGCGTGCCGGGTAAGCGGCGAGCCCCTCTGCTCCACGCTCGGCAGGGRAAGAGCTGCCACCCTCTTCGTGGGCCTCTTCGGGTCGAAAAGCATCGCCGGGTATCTCTGTGAGCCTTACCTGCCAGTGCCAACCCGCTGCTTGTTATGGTGGCAGTTTTAATGGTTGCTCCCCTGGGTTAGGCCCGGTGCCTTGCCCACGTGCAGCCCACAGCGTTGGGCCGCCCTGAGAGCGGAGCTCGGAGCACCTCGGCCCAGGGCTCCGGGCGCAGGCCAGGGAGCTGCTGCCTGGATGGGGAGCAGGTCCAGGCAACACCAGGTAGCACCGCGCTGCGCTGGGGGTGCCCGGAGCGGGTGCGGAGGGACCCGGGAAGGGGCGTGCAGCTCCCTGTGACCGTGCCTCTGAATAGCTTTGGCTGTTCCGCCGTGACATGGAGCTATTAAGCTTTTCACTGTCCCCCGTTCAAATTGCTGCTGTTYAGGAGTTGTCTGAGGAGCCCTTTGTAGCGCGATGTGACAGGAATACCAAGCGCTGCGTAAAGCTCCGAGGCAGGAGCCGGTGATTAATTCAACTGCTGCGAGGGGATGGGAGGCTGATTTAGTCCTGGCAAGAGCGAGAAGCCCTTTTTTTGCTGTCATCTGTCCTCAATTAAAAGAACCCGATGGTGCAAATGCCACTTTGAGGCAGCCCCCGAGCCCAAGACCAAAGGGGTGCTGGGCTGCGGTGCAGCCCTGCTGCACGTGTAGGTCCCCAGCTCGTGACGGGGTTGGCACCGCGGTTTGTGTCCCACACTCACCCAGCTCCTTCTCCCCTCACTTTGCAGAGCACGGGCGGAGCAGCCAGACGCCGGGATGCGCCTCCTGCGGCAAGACTTTCTCCTCGTACTTCAAAGCGGAGCCCGTGTACCAGCTGCCCTGCGGCCACCTCCTGTGCCGGCCCTGCTTGGCCGAGAAGCAGAAGTCCCTCTCRATACTGTGTGGGAACTGCAAGAGGTCGGTGGCCACCCACGACGTGCAGAGGGTTCACTTCTAAGCGGGCTCGGCCGCCGGCAGGACGGGAGCAGGAGGCGCCGCCGCGCGGGGCCGGCCCCGGCGCGCGAGGACGGAGGCCGGCGCGGGGCCGGCCGGGCCAGCGGAGGGGTCTTGGGCGCCTCACGCTTACAGAGTAGTTTTGGGGGGGGAATTAGAGCATTGCGCCGGAGCAGAGCGGTCCGAGGGTAATAAAAGCCATAGCTTCTCCAAGGAGGAATGCGTATTTATACGACACGGATCTCCGTCCCCAGCCCGCGCGTCGCGTCGGTGCCTTGCGGCCCCCGGGTTCAGCTTCCCCGAGAGTTAAAGCCCTTCCGTGTCGGCCGAGCAGYCACGGGGGATGCGGAGCAGCCGCCGGCCTCGTGCTCCAGGGCACGTGGAGCTCCCTGAGCCTCCCCGTTCCGCCCTGCTCCGTGCAGGCACCGGGGCGGCCGTGGGGAGGAGCGGCGCTGCCCTCCTGCTCGTGCCAAGCTCTGTAGAAAAGCCATCGCATCGCACAGCGTCGCTCCTGGTTTGTGGCGTGTGACCTGACCGGCTCCCGGCTGCCTGATAGACATTTAAGCCTTAATAAAATTATGGTTCAAGTCCCCTGCTCTTTCCAACTCATCTGTGGGTCTCACTGTGCAACTTAATGACTCTGGCGCGACGCGCCGAGGGAAGGCGCTGGGAAGAGCCAGGGCAGGAGCTGCGYGTTCCTGCTGAGGGGTTCCAGCATCCCGAGCCGCATACTTGCATCCCAGGAGATCAGAAAAGCCCTAAGTGAGGGGGCTGGGACACGTCCCGTCTGTGACGCAGCCTGCTGTGCCRCGGGGAGGTGACAGCCGTGTTTTGTCGCTGCCGTGACCCCCCGCCGCTCCCCTTAATTGGCAATTTCTCCTGGCAGAGCTGACGTTGGCGCCGGGCTCTCTGGGGTAACGGGTCTCCRAGTGAATCAGCTCCTCCGGCCTCTAATACCCTTTTTATGGAGTCTTTTATGAGGCACCCGCTTGCGGAATAACGGGCAGGGCCAGCGCGTGGGAGCTGCCCCGGAGCGAGGCCGCTGCCCAGCCCTGTTAGACCCCGCCTGGCAAAAACCAGCAACCCGGGGGCTGCGTTAAGTGATAACGGGTCGCAAAGGAGAGAGGGTGATCCTGAAAACTCCTCGCGTTGGGAGCAACCCCATGATGTCCGTGGGGACGTTGGCTGCAATTCTGCCCCCATCTTCTGCCACGCACTAGGGATGCCTGCCCGGAGGCTGCTCAGCCTTCGTCCACCCTCTTCCTCCTCCCCATTCTCCACCTTTGTGCCCAGCCAGGAGTGGCTGCAGCTCCAGGGGAGCCTGGGATGTTCTGCCAGCCCGGGAGCAGCGCTCCGGCTCTGCTTCCGACTCGGAGCACCCTGACCTGGGCCGGGCAAGGGCCGTGTGGAAACGGCAGCGAGGAAAACACCTCTTTTCCACCCATTTCCCTCAAAAACACCCAGTACGTTGCACTAGGAAAGGGAGACATTGTCTCACTCCCTCCTGAGCCGCTGATTGCCCGAGGGTTGGAAAATCCCATCTCTTTCCAGGCATCGGAGAGGCTTTAGCAGCAGAGCCACAAAAGCCTCCCGCGGTCCAGCACGGCGGCTCCTCACGCCCAAATCCCACAACAGCCTCCGAGGCCGCCAGCAGCCCCTTCCCTCGGCATTTCCACGCCATGCCGGGCGGGAAGCGCCTCCCGGCAGCCGCAGCCCTTTAGCATTCCCGGCACGCAGGCATTTGCATGGAGCGCCGGCCGCCTTAATGCGGGGCCGCGTCTCGCGTGCGCCCGGCGCCCCGGCCCGCATTAGCCGCGCGCGCCCCGGCGCTTCCCGCCGGGAAAGGCCGGCCGGGAATATTGGGCGAGGAATATTCATTCCTCCTTCCTCCGCGGCCACACATGTAACGAGGTCGTTTGGCGGCGCGGGGGGATTTGCACCCTCCTCCGCCGCCGCCTTCTCCGTTGGCTGCCTCGTTTCGGCAGCACTTATGCCTAAGTCCCCCTTGCGATGCCATAGGGGACCCCGCTCCCCAAAACCAGCAGCACCTGCAATGGCCTTGGCAGCCCAGCAGTGCCATGAGCGTGCCAGGGCTCAGCTTGGCCACCCAATAGGCAGGTCAATGCTGGACCCCAAAGTACCTTTTATTGTGCATTCTTTTCCCCCTTTTGCTGCTGTGTCTCTGCTCCATCCTCGTGCTTTCACTGGCAGCTGCAGCCGCGCTTGGGCCGCGCTTTACCCACCATGGGCCACCCCACTGTCCCGGTCCCTGCGTGGGGCCGGGGTCACCAACACGGGACCAAAGGGATGCAAAAAAATAGGTTTGTGCCCAATTTCTTCACCCAACTCCAAGCCCCTCACGCTGGGCGCACGCTCAGCTGCCCTGTCTCGGCAGCCCCAAATCCCTTCCAAACTGGCATCTCTCCCCAAAGCAGCATCCCGGCAAACAGCATCCCGCAAAGCAGCACCCTGCAAAGCTGCATGCCACCAAGCAGCATCCCGGCAAGCAGCATCCCGGCAAACAGCATCCCAGCAAACAGCACCCTGCAAAGCAGCACCCTGCCCTGCAGCACCCCCGGGCTGCAGCGGCCGTCCCCACGCGTCCCCCCCGCGCCGCCACCGTCCCCGCCGGGCCCCTGCCCTGCAGCTCRGGGGACTTGCCAGCCCCGAGCGCCGCGCGCGTCGGCACTGAATCACCGCAATTACAGAAGCAATTTGGGAGGGAAGATTATTTTTTTTTTTTAAGAAAAAGGAAAAAAAAAAAGCAAGCCCATCTCCTCCTCCTCCTCCCGCGGGAAAGGGGCGCCGGCGGCATAAATAGCAGCGGGAGCAGCCCCGGCGGCAGATGCCAACGGCGGCTCCCGGCTCCGCTCGGCTCCCGGCGCCCGGCACCATGGCAGAGCCTTCGCTGCCCCTCTCCTTCCTCTGCCTCCTGGCCCTGGCCTCCGCCTGCTACATCCAGAACTGCCCCCGCGGCGGCAAACGGGCCCTGGCCGACACGGCCACGCGACAGGTACCGGGGCACGCACGGGACCCCCCGGCGTGTGGTAACGCGATGGGCTACAAGTGGGAGAAAGGGGGAAAAAAGGGGAGAGCGGGGGGAAGGAGAGGGAGAAAGGGTGCAAAAAGAAGGGAATGGGTGCAGGGAAGTGGGAGGCAAAGTGCATTTAGAAGGAGAATGGCTGCAATGAGAAGGTTTAACGGGTTCAAAATGAGACAGAGGGTGAAAGGAAGCGGGAGATAAGCTGCATTTAATGGGAAATGAGTGTAAAAGAAAGGTAAAAGGGTTCAAAAAGAGGGAGAAAAGGTGGGGAAAGAGAGGAAGGCTGCAAAAAGATGGAGAAAGGAGCAAAAAAGGGCGGAAGGGTGCAAAAGAAGCGAAGGAAAGATGTTGAAAGGCGAGAAAAGAGGGAGAAGGGGTGCAAAAAAGAGAGAAAGCATGGTAAAAGACGGAGAAAGTTGTAAAAAGGGGAGAAATGGTGCAAAAAAGAGGGGGAAAGGGTGCAGAATTGTGAGGAAAAGGTACAAAAAAAAGGGAGACCAGGTGCATAAAGAGCGAGAAAGGGCGGGAAAAGGGAGAGAAGCTGCAAAGAGATTGAGAAAGGTACCAAAAAAAGGAGGAAAAGAGTGCAAAAAAAGTGGGAGAAAGCTGTAAAAAAAGGAAAAGAGAGGGAGAAAGGGTACAAAAAAAAGGGGGGGGAGAAAGTGCAAAAAGAGGGAGAAAGGGTGCTAAAATATGGAAAAGGCTGTTAAAAAGGGAGGAAAGTGCAGAAAAAAGGGAAGAGTGGAGAAATGTGAGAAGAGGTACRAAAAAGGGAAACAAGGTACATAAAGAGGGAGAAAGGGTGCAAAAAGAGAGAGAAATGGTGCTAGAAGATGGAGAAAGCTGTAAAAAAGAAAGGTGCAAAAACGGAGGGAGAAAGGGCTCAGAGATGTGAGGAAAAGGTACAAAAAAGGGAGAAAATATGTAAAAAGAGGGAGAACGGGTGCAAAAAGAGGGAGAAAGGGTGCTAAAAGATGGCGAAAAAATTAAAAAATGAGAAAAGATGCAGAAAGTGGGAGCAAGGGTGCAGAAGTGGGAGAAAAGGTACAAAAAAGTGCATGAAGAGGGAGAAAGGATGCAAAAATAGGGAGAAAGGTTAGAAAAAGGGGAGAATGGGTGCAAAAAAAAAGGAGAATGGGTGCAAAAAAAAAAGATGAGAAAGGATGCAAAAACAGGGGGAAGGGATGCAAAAATTGGAGATTAAAGTGCCGGGGTAGCTGGATGATGCCCTGGCCAGAGCGAGCAGGGCAGATGCAGCTCGTGGCCGGGCAAGGTGGCCAAGGCCGCCGTGATGGAGGATGGCGGCGGCGTTGGCCCCGGTGCACGTGCCCCCATAACGCACCCGCGCCCGCCGCAGTGCATGTCCTGCGGCCCCGGCAACAGGGGCAACTGCTTTGGGCCGAGCATCTGCTGCGGCGCCGAGCTGGGCTGCTACGTGGGCACGGCGGAGACGCGGCGCTGCGCCGAGGAGACCTACGTGCCCTCGCCGTGCTGGGCGGGCGGGCGGCCGTGCGGCGCCGACGGTCGCTGTGCCGCCCCCGGCATCTGCTGCAGCGACGGTAAGAGCCGCGACGGGCCCTGGAGGAGACGGGCGAGCTCAGAAACACGGCGCGAGCTCCGCGTTTGGGCTGCCCGGGGGAAAACTGAGGCATGGCGGCAGCCGCGAGAAAATGGCGGCAGCTGCAAGAAAATGGCGGCAGCCGCGAGAAAATGGCCGCCGCCTCAGGGCGCAACTAACCTGTTGCCGCTCTCCTCGTGTGTCCATGTGCAGAGAGCTGCGGGCTGGAGCCCGCGTGCCTGGAGGAGGAGGCAGCGGGCACGGAGCAGGACGCCCTGGGCGCCAACGGGACGGCACTGGACGCCTCGGCCGGCGAGCTGCTCCTCAAGCTGATGCGCCTGGCGAGCCGGCGGCAGCCGGGCGCCGCGGCGCCRCTCTGAGGCGCCCGCCATGCTGCCCTGCGGAGCCCCTCTGCTCGCGGCTCCTGGCCATGGGGAAGGGGGGAAAGAGTTACTTCAAATAAAATAATAATAATAAAAGAAATAAGCAAGGTTTKGCTTCCTGCCCCCAGCAAGTCGCCCCTCGCAGCATCTGCCTGGTGCTTCCCAGCCCTCACACCGACCRAGTCCCAGAGGCGCCATGTCCACCTGTGCCCCTTCCCGCTTACCCTCGTGGGGCGCCCGTCACTGTCCCTCTGGCCTTTATAATGTCCCCAGGGTGGGAGGTGGAGCGGGAGGCCGGCCTGCGGCGGCCACGTCAGCACGGGAGCCATGAGCCGCCCTGAYCCCGAGCCGCTCCATCCTCCCCACAGTGCCCCTTGGCATCCCCAGCGCTGGGACACGTGTCCCGAGCGTGCCCGGCCTCGGCACCGCCGCCTCTCCGGCCTGCTTTGGGATCCAGGAAAGGCTGGATGCGGTTTTGGGGGGAGAACAGCAGTATGTGGTGCCTCGTGAGGGGTCACTAAGGAGCCGGGACTCGTGCAGGYGAAGGAGGGGACACGGCGATGGTGCACGGAGGGCACTGGGATGWGGGCAGGGACACTCACCCAACACCCCCAAGGGCAGCAAGGACCCATAAAACTCCTGTGTGACAGAAGGAGCTGAAAACAGGGTTTTTCTACAGCTCTTCTGCTAAAAAACTTTTGTCCCAAACTCCAGAGCAGCCGCCGGGCTCAGCTGGGGGTCACTCAGCGTCACACATCCCCTCATCCCAACCCATCCCGGCTCCATACCCTGGAGCGCGTCAGGATTCGACCCCAGCCAGCGGGGCCGGGCAGAGGTTACGGCCCTGGCGCCGCCGGATTGCATATTCCCGCGTTAAGTAAGCCAGGACTAATGGGCTCGATAGGCGCGAGGCTTGCGGGCCCTCGTCCGCCGCRTGGGGATTTATGCCGGGCGGGAAGCGCTTAATGAGCGCGGGCGAGGGGTCGCGACGCGCGCCGGCACGCGCCAGCCTGCGCCCTGCTTGCGTCCGCATCCTCGGCATCCATCAGGGACAGGGCCACATTGATTTGCATGGGAAAGAAACACAGGGATGTGCTCTGTGTCGTCCCTGTGCCTCTTCCCACCTGTTTCCGAGCAGGATGTAGAGGAGCACCCCCCAACAGCAAGCAAGGAAGAGCCCATCACCATCACCACATGCTTCACCCTCCAGTGTGGAGTCCCCAGGCCATTGTGGAGGAAAAAATGGGCTCATTCCCCACGTGAGGGGATTTGAACCCAAAGGAAGCACTTAGTCCCCTCAAACTTGATTGAGYTGGACCTATTTTCTCTGGAGAAGAGAAGGCTGAGAGGGGATCTGACTAATCTGTATAAGCACCTGAAGGGGAAACGTAGGGAGGAAGGGGCCAAGCTCTTCTCAGTGGTGACCAGTGATAGGACAAGGGGCAAKGGGTACAAGTTGAAACCCAGGCAGCTCYATCTCCAYGTGAGGAGGARCTTCTGCACTGTGAGGGTGCCCAAGCCCTGGCCCAGGCTGCCCAGGGATGCTGTGGAGGCTCCTGCTCCGGAGGTCTTCAAAACCTGCCTGGATGCAACCAGGTGCCCCGTGCTCTGGGTGTCCCTGCTGGAGGAGGCGGGGTTGGACTGGATGATCCCTAGAGGTCCTTTCCAACCTTAATGATTCTGTGATTCTGTGAAACACAGCCTACCAGGCCTTCAGAGGCATCTTCCAACCCAACCTGTGGTCAAGAGGGAAGCAGAGACATTGGCTAACAAGGAGAACACAGAAGCACGGACCGTTCATGGCCTGAGCGCTTGCTGAAAGGAACCTGAACTATCAATATTCCCTATCTCTCCCATCCTATGGGACTCCTTTTTCCCCCACAGCATCCAGAGGCTCCACACGCWTCCCCAGCTGTGGCCAGAGCAGGGAGAAAACGAGCGTCTTGGCACTGACCTCACGTCCTTGACCTCCGGCTATTAGCCGAGCCCTTTGGTGTGGGAAGCAATGCCTTGTATTCTTTAAGGGAAATGAGTGAYGACGGCGCTGGCATGTATAAGCAGCCCCGGGCGCTATATATACGGCTCGCGGGCGGCGGGCCGAGCAGCCGCGGCGCTCCGCAACCGCAGCCATGCCCTGCAAGGCGCTCGCCCTCTGCCTCCTGGCGCTCCTGGCGCTCTCCTCCGCTTGCTACATCCAGAACTGCCCCATCGGGGGCAAGCGCGCCGTGCTGGACATGGACATCAGGAAGGTAGGTCCTGTCGCCACCCTGGCACACTCCCCAACTCCCTCCTTGTCTCCCAACACTGCTGCTGGGTGTGAAATATATATATATATATATWTWTWTTTTAAGAGAATAGCATCAGTACGGATGGTTTTTGTCTTTCCTACCTCTGCCCCTACCTCTCCCGCTGCAGTGCCTGCCCTGCGGTCCCAGGAACAAGGGCCACTGCTTCGGTCCCAACATCTGCTGCGGAGAGGAGCTGGGCTGCTACTTGGGCACCTCCGAAACGCTGCGGTGCCAGGAAGAGAACTTCCTGCCGACGCCGTGCGAGTCCGGCCGGAAAGCGTGCGGCAGCAACGGAGGGAGCTGCGCGGCCGCCGGCATCTGCTGCAGCCACGGTGAGAGCCCGAGGGGCAGCGCAGGACCGACCTCATCCCACTTTCCTTCTGCCCATCCCTCGAGTCCCAGCCCCTCACTTACTGCTGCCCGTTCTCCCTATTTGCACGAGGAGCAATCCGAGTTGGAAGTGGGGAAGGGTATGCAGCCCAACAGGCAGATAAGACCCTTCTTTGTCCTCTATGTACCCAATAGACCGTCCTGCTCAGGGCAGACATGACTGGGAGACCCACCATGATGCACAGGAGGCTGGTAGGATAGGGCACCGACTGAGGGATCTGGGGGTAAAGCCTCTGCTTTACCCAGCCCAGCACGGGGGGCTGGAGAGGCAGCAGGACTCCTACCACCACACAGCTCTCCTGCATTAGCCACATCTTTCCAAAAACCTCCGGAAAGGCAACGCTGCAGGAGGTGCTGCTACAAATTACATTGCTGCTGCAGCTCCCGGGGCACGGAATTAACACAGTCCTGCTGGATCCGTTATTAAAGCGGCCGCGGGGGGTCCCTGATGGCTAAGGCTTCATGCCGTCTCATCGGCGCGCTGCTCTYGCTCTCTCCCTCTGCAGAGGGCTGCGTGTTTGACTCATCTTGCGACCAAGAAGGGCTCTTTCCATAGCCCAGCCCGACCACAGGACAGCRAAGGCTTCCCAGGACCCGCCACCTTGTCCGAGTCCCACATCCAACAGACAGAGCAAGTCCCGTGACTCAAATTTAAGTGATGTTCGTAACTAGAAATAAAAGCTTGCACCAAAAAATCAGTCTGTTTTCCTGTGTTTGCCTGGTTCGGTGGCAGACTCCTGCTGCTGTCTGCTCAGAAAGACTCATGTGACTGGCTGGAGAGAAAAGGCTGTTTTTGGAGAAAAGTGATGCCACAGCTGACGAGGCAGAAAGGGAAAGAGATGCACAGAAACCAGCTCGCTTCCTTTAGACTTGCACTGTGTGATCTTCTCCCTTGAACCAACATTCAAAGGAGGGTTTAAGGAATAAGCAGGAATGACTAAAGACGGCCCTTCCGCCACAGCAGAGACCAGAGGAACTAAGACTTATTCCAGCCAATAAGACACAGCCAAGTGGCAGTGTTCCTACAAAAATACCCAGACCCCATTTTCTTTCAAAAGCACCAGGATGGGCTGAAATACAAACACCAGGCACACAGGGACCAGAAAGAGGTTTTGGTAGCACCTGAGATACTCCAGCCYGAGGTTCCCAAGAGGAAAAAGGTGTCACATGAGCCAGATACTGCTTTCTTGCCTGTGATGGGAATAATGTTCTAGCGTGTTAAGCCCAGGTACGATCCCACCTGGGGAAGGTGTGTGATTTTGGTTACCCATATTTGAGATCAGCACAAAGGGTTTGGGCAGGAGGCCACAGGAAAAGGAGAGAGATGAGCAGCGATACCGGTTGCTTTAGCTCGGCAAAGCAGAGGACGGGATTAGACTCCTCTGGAAGACAAACATCAGGCACCTACGAGGCAGGACCTGCCGTGGGATCATTCTCGCTCCAGCCTGCAAGTTTAGCCTGGGGAAACCAGGAATACCAGGAGCTCCTCGCACAGCTTCCTGTGGGGAAGTTCCACAGGGACTGACACAGACTGCTAACGCCTCCAGGGTTCAGCATGGCCGGATTTTATTTCAAATCCATCTCTCTCCCCCTAACTTTGCCACCGGGGCCGTTACCCTGGAGCAGCGGAACCGCAGTGAGAGCTGCAGGCTGCCTGTGCAACAATTCCATGGCTGATCCATGCATTCCAAGGAGGAAACCTCCTCCCACCAGGGCACGGGCTCAGCCTCTGGACAGAAATCAGGGCCAAAACCTCCGCTCCCACCAGGGGAGCCGCTAGGACAGAACAGTCCGTTTCACGATCCTGCCTTCTTTGTCGATGGCAAAGTTGTAGTTGCGGGGGTTGTCCAGGCACTCCTCAATCCGCGCGTCCAGGTTTTCGGGRGTGATGAAGTTTTTGGCTTCCTCCTGAACCAAAGAGAAGCACTGGCTTTTAGGGCACGTTAACGGACAAATCGCTATTCGGTTGATATTTCAGCTTCAGGGAAAAGGAGACTTTTTTCCCTATCGCTTGGCATTTGTCCTTTGCTGTTTTCAGAGCTCCCACACAAGCTCTAACCCATCCACAAGCTGCCACGTCTCCAGGAGGGAGCCAAGACCTGTGTTCCCAGCTGTGTTCGTGTGTTCCCAACATGTAGCTCCCCAGAAAAGAAGCCTCCTGCCTTCACGTCACCCCTACCGGGTCCCCTCAAACTGCTCACAGGCCCCAATGACACCGTTTTCCCCAGCAGCCACCAGCTGCTCTCACCTGCAGCTGCAGAACCTCTTTCTCCTTCTCCTTCAGGAAGGCCTCCATTAGCCTRGCCTTGCTCTCCTCAGCCTCCAGCTTCTGCCTCCTCCGCTCTTCCTCTTCTTTCCGAATCCTCTCCTCCCTGCCACACAAAGGAAGAAAACCTGTAGGGTGGCACGAAGAACCTTTCCCTGTTTTCAGGATTCAGTGCAGACAGGCTCCCAAACATCCTTTTAATTTATTTATTCATTTATTTATTTACATTCACATATTTTATCCACTTCTGGTGTTCAGCCAGACGATGGCTCCCTGCGAGCAGTGTCTGCCACAGAACAGGTAGAAACTTGACTCYGAGCTACGACTGTTTCTGTTTCCATCAACTTCTGCTCTGCAGTGAGAGGCCACCAAGTGCCCAGCACTTCACCTGTCAGAACCTGAAATGTCCCCACCTCGCAAGGTGATTTTTGGCAGCAGAACCAAAAGGGAACAACCTGTTTTCTCTGAGCTCGGGCGCAAAGGTGACCCTGGCCACTGCTGAGTGGGGCCAGCAATCATCAGCCTGTYGCTGTTCCCTCCCCGAATGTCACATCTGAGGCTGCTCTCCCGGCCACAGYGCAGCTGTGCCCATCACATCCATTCCGCAGGTGGCCTGACAGCTCCCAGCAGTCTACAGGGATTAACCTTTACTGCAGGGAAAGCAGGTGCTTCCCACTTCCACCACCTTCAAAAGCAGATTTATTAAAGCCAGAATCAAAGTTTGTAGAAACAACCACTTTTCCACTGCAGCTTGGCTCTGACCTAGCAGGTATTTAGCTTAACTCCGCGCAAACAAAGGGAAACCCCCCAAGTCGCCCAGTGGAGGTGACTGGTTCCAGCCTGGCACCCCATGAACATCCTCCACGGGGTGCCACGAGCAGGGGCCGCATGGGCRGGCGCTCGGTGGCCTTCCTGTTCCCGCTGCGGGCAGGCGCTCCCGGCATTCCCGTTTGCAAGGGTGGGTGCTCCGTGCAGCACTCCCGCTCCCGACGGTGCCACAGGCCGGCACTCCTGGCGTTCCCGTCCCCGCCGCGCTCACCTGCGCGCGCGCTGCCGCGCGTTCTCGGCCTCGTTCCAGGCCATGAGCAGCCGGTGCTCCTCCGCGTGCTGCGCCGCGTCCTCGCCGCCCGCCAGCGCCTCCTGCTTCCTGCGCTTCACCTCGGCTCGGAACTCGCAGCTGCATTCACACGTAACGGGGCGCTCTGAGCGCGGGGAGCTGGGGCACCCCGCGGCAGCACCAGCCCGCGGCCCAACCCCCCCGCCTGCCCCACGGCCCCATCCTCTCCTGCCCCACACGGGCCCTGGTCCCACAGCCTCTGACACCCCTGCTCGCCCCAGATCCTGGACCCACTGCCCCGTATCCTGTCCTATCACACGTGGGTCCTGGTCCCACTGACTCCACATCCCCTGCCTGCCCCAAATCCCGGACCCACTGCCCCGTATCCTCTCCTGCCCCACATGGGTCCTGGTCCCACAGCCCCCGCCCCCCCTGCTCACCCCAAATCCTGGACCCACTGCCCCATATCCTCTCCAGACACACACGGGTCCTGGTCCCATGGCCTCCACAACCCCTGTCTGTCCCAAATCCCAGGCCTACTTTCCCCTATCCTTTCCTATCCCAAACTAGCCCCATGCTTACCCTGGCTTCTGAAGCCCCAAATCTCAGTCSCCCTGCCCCGTATTCCAGCTCCCCTGCCCCATATCCTCCAATGGCACACGGATACTGGCCCCATGGCTTCTGAAGCCCCAAATCTCAGTCCCCCTGMCCCCTATTCCAGCCCCCATATTCCATTCCAGCCCACATTCCAGCCCACATTCCAGCCCCACACTCCACCGCGCTCTCCCACCGCACAGGGGCCTCCACAGCCCCGGCCTGTCCCCAACCGCCTCCCGCCGCGCGCGGCCCCGGCCCAGCCCTACCGCGAGGCGCCCCCCGCGCGCGGCGCCGCCGCTACCGGAGGGCGCTGAGCACGCGGCGGTGCTGCCGGTAGCGCTCGGTGACCACGAGCAGCTCCTCCGGCTCCACGGGCGGCGGCACCTTGAGGCGCGACGCCTTGGACTTGGCGGGCGGGTCGTGGCGGCTCTTGCGGCCGCGCGCGGGCACGAGGCGGGCGGCGGGGCC